TTGAGCCCATTGTGGTGTGTGTGTACAGCACCTGTGTGCTCACCAGACTTGGAGTCACTGGGTAGCTTCTTTGGATCCCACTTCTGACACCACAGAGCCAGAAGTTCAGGGAAAAAAACAGACCTAAAACCAATGAATCCCTGAAGTACTATTAGTAAAAGCATATTGTGTTTACACCAAAAAGACAGTTTGCAAGCCAGAGGCTTTCCAATCAAAGCATGGAAGGAGGCTCAGAGGTATATTGTTATAAAGCAGCTTATGTATTATAGAGGTAATGACTGGTTACAGTATTAGAATTTTCTTAAAAGAAAGGGAATTGGTTAGTGGTTATCTCATATCAGTTTTGGGATCAATTTAAGTTTCATTTATCATTTTCAGAGGCATAAGCAAGAAGTGTCCAATGTCAAGTTAGCCTCACTTTCCTTGCAAAATAAGTTAAGCTTTGCCTGTATGACTAAACTAGTTTTATCTGTCCAGAGAATTTTCAAGTCTGGTCTTTATTTGTGTTTGACTTTAACAATAGTTAGAAAAAATTATTTCTTACGATGAGGACTTTAAAGAGCTACTCCCTTCAACTTTCAAATATGCAATACAGTATTATTAACTATAGTCTTTGTGCTCTATATTATATCCCCATGACTTATTTATTTTATAATGGGAAGTTTGTATATTTGACCGCCTTCATCCATTTCATCTAACCCCCATCCCCACCACTGGCAACCACCAATCTGTTCTCTGTATCTATGAGCTTTGGGTTGTGTTTTGTTGTTTTCCTTTTGTACTGTTTAGATTCCACATGTAAGTGAGATCATACAGCATTTGCCTTTGACTTATTTCACTTAGCATAATGTCCTCAAGGTCTATCTCATTGCAAATAGCAAGATTTTATGTTTTTTATGAATGAATAGTACTTCATTATGTGTATCCATGTACACATACTCACATACCACATATTCTTTATCCATTCATTCATCCACTGATAGACCCTTAGGTTGTTTCCATATCTTGATTATTATAAATAATGCTGTAGTGAGGGGCACCTGGGTGGCTCAGTCATTAAGCGTCTGCCTTCGGCTCAGGTCATGATCCCAGGGTCCTGGGATCAAGCCCCGCATCGGGCTCCCTGCTCTGCGGGAAGCCTGTTTCTCCCTCTCCCTCTCCCCCTGCTTGTGATCCTGCTCTCACTGTGTCTCTCTCTGTCAAATAAATAAATAAAATCTTTAAAAAATAAATAAATAAATAAATAAATAAATAAATAAATAAATAAATAAATAAATAATGCTGTAGTGGACATGGTGGGGTGTATCTTTTTAAGTTAGTGTTTTCATTTCCTTTGGATAAATACCCATAAGTGGAATTGCTGAATCATATGGTAGTATATATTTTTTAAAGGAACCTCCAGGGCACCTGGGTGGCTCAGTTGGTTAAGCGACTGCCTTCGGCTCAGGTCATGATCCTGGAGTCCCTGGATCGAGTCCCGCATCGGGCTCCCTGCTCGGCGAGGAGCCTGCTTCTCCCTCTAACCCTCCTCCCTCTCATGTACTCTCTCTGTCTCTCTCATTCTCGCTCTCTCAAACAAATAAATAAATCTTTAAAAAAAATAAATAAATAAAAAAATAAAGGAACCTCCATACTGTTTTCCACAGTGGGGGCACCAATTTACATTCCCACCAACAGTGTACAAGGGTTCCTTTTTCTCCACATCCTAACCAACAGTTGCTGTTTCTTGTCTTTTGATATAATAGCCATTCTAACAGGTATGAGGTGATATCTCATTGTAATTTTTATTTGCATTTCCCTGATGATTAGTGATGTTCATCATATTTTCATATACCTGTTGGCCATCTGTGTGTCTGGAAAAATGTCTGTTCAGGTCCCCTGCCCTTTTTTTTTTTTAAATATTTTATTTATTTATTTGACAGCGACAGAGGGAACACAAGCAGGGGGAGTGGGAGAGGGAGAAGCAGGCTTCCCGCTGAGCGGAGAGCCTGATATGGGACTCGATCCCAGGACCCTGGGTTCATGACCTGAGCCGAAGGCAGACGCTTAATGACTGAGCCACCCAGGTGCCTCATCCCTGCCCATTTTTTAATCAGATTGTTTTTTGCTATTGAGTTGTATGAGTTTTTTATATATTTTGGATTTTTAACTCCTTATCATATATGATTTGCAAATATTTTTTTCGTTCAGTAGGGTGCCTTTCATTTTGTTGATAATTTCCTTTGCTGTACAGAAGGTTTGTAGTTTGATGTAATTCCACGAGTTCGTTTTTGTTTTTGTTGCCTTTGCTTTTGGTGTCAGGTCCAAAAAATCATCAAGACCAGTGTCAAGGAGTGGACTGCCTATGTTTTCCTCTAAAAGTTTAATGGTTTCAGGTCTTACATTCAAGCCTTCTTATCCATTTTGGGTTAATTTTGTATATAATGTAAGATAGTAGTCTAGTTTCATTCTTTTCCTTGTGACTGTTCAGTTTTTCCAGCATCATTTACTGCAGAGACTGTCCTTTTCCCATTGTTATTCTTGGGTCCTTTGTCATAACTTAATTGACCATCTGTGTGTGGGCTCTCTATTCTGTTCTATTGATCTGTGTGTCTGTTTTTATGCCAACACCATACTGTTTTGATTGTTTTAGCCTTGTAATATAGTTAGAAATCAGGAACTGTGATGCCTCTGGCTTTTTTCTTTTTTCTCAAGATTGTTGTTGCTATTCAAAGTCTTTTGTGGTCCCATACAAATTTTAAGGTTGTTGGTTATATTCCTGTAAAAAATGATACTGGAATTTTGATAGGGATTATATTAAATCTGTAGATTTCTTTGGGTAGTATGGACATTTTAAAAATATTCTTCCAATCCATGAGCATGAAATATCTTTCCATTTATTTGTGTCATCTTCATTTTCTTTCATCAGTGTCTTACAGATTTCAGTGTATGGGTCTTTTACCTCCTTGGTTCAATTTATTCCTAGGTATTTTATTCTTTTTCATACAATTGTAAATGGGATTGTGTTCTTAATTTCTCTTTCAGATAGTTTGTTATTAGTGTGTAGAAACTTTTTTGCATATTAATTTTATCCTGTAACTTTACTGAATTTATTAGTTTTTTTTTTTAAGATTCATTGATTTATTTATTTTTGAGAGAGAGCTGGAGGAGAGGGAGAGTATCTCAAGCAGACTCCCTGCTGAGCATAGAGCCCAATACCAGGCTCAGTCTCACAACCCCAAGATCATGACCTGAGCCAAAATCAAGAGCCAGAGGCTTAACCAACTGAGCCACCCAGGTGCCCCTTGAATTTATTAGTTCTAATAAGATTTTTTTTTTTTTTTTTGGTGGCATCTTTAGGGTTTTCTACATATAATATCATGTTATCTGCAAATAGTGATCATTTTATTCTTTCTTACCAATTTGGATGCCTTTTATTATTTTTTTCTTGCCTAATTGCTCTAAGAGTTACAGTACTGTGTTGAAAAAAACTGGCAAGAATGGGCATCCTTTTCTTGTTCCTGATCTTAAAGGCACTGTTAAGTGTGATATTAGCTGTGAGCTTGTCATATTATGACCTTTATATGTTGAGGTATGTTTCCTCTTTTTTGAGAGTTTTTATCATGAAGAGATGTTGAATTTTTCTGTATCTATTCAGATGACCATATGATTTTTATCCTTCATTTTGTTTATGTTGTGTATCTTGATTGATTTATGGGTATTGCACCATCTTTGCATCCCTAGAATATATCCCACTTGATGGTGGCATATGATCCTTTTCATATATTGTTGAATTTGGTTTGCTAATGTTTTGTTGAGGATTTTTGCATCTGTGTTCATTAGCGATATTGGCCTGTAATTTTCTTTTATTGTGGAATCTTCATCTGGTTTTGATATTAGGGTAATATTTGGCCTCACAACATGAGTTTGGAAGTTTTCCCTCCTCTTCTGTTTTTCAGAAGAGTTTGAGAGGATTGGTATTAATTCTTAGGATGGGTAGAATTCACCAGTGAAACCATCTAGTCCTGGACTTTCATTTGTCGGGAGGTTTTTTATTACTGATTCAATCTCCTTACTAGTAATTGATACATTCAGACTTTCTATTTCTTCATGATTCAGTCTTCTAAGGTTGTACGTTTCTAGGAATTTTTCCTTTTAGGTTGTTCATTTTGATGATGTTTGTATTTCTGTGGTATCAGTAATGTCTCCTTTTTCTTTTTTTTATTTTATTTGAACCCTTTCTTTTTTTCTTGATGAGTCTAAGCTTAGTTAATGGTTTGCCATTTTTACCTTTTCAAGCTCTTAGTTTCATTGATCTTTTGTATTGGTTTTTTAGTTTCTCTTTCATTCATTTGTACTCTGATCTTTGTTATATCCTACCTTCTACTAACTTTGGGCTCTTCTTTTTCTAGTTCCTTGAGATGTCATTTATTTGAGATCTTTCTTGTTTCTTGATAGAGGCCTTTATTAGTATGAGTTACCCTCTTAGAACTACTTTTATTGCATCCCATAAATTTGGGGATATTGTATTTTCATTAGTCTCAAGGTATTTTTTTAATTTCTCTTTTAATTTTTTTTCTTTGACCCATTGGTTGTTCAGTAGCATGTGGTATAATCTCTACATAGTTGTGAATTTTCCAGTTTTCTTCTTGTATTGATTTTTAGTTCCATACCATTGCAGTTGGAAAAGGTACTTGATATGATTTTAGTCTCCTTAATTTATTGACTTGTTTTGTGGACTAAACTATGATCTATCCTGGAGAACGTTCCATGTGTGCTTGAGAAGAATACATTGTCTGTTCCTTTTGGATGGAATATTATGTATACATCTATTAAATCTATGTGGTCTAACATGTTATTTAAGGCTAATGTTTCTTTATTGAGTTTCTCTCTGGATGATCTATCCATTGATGTAAGTGGTACATTAACGTCCCCTACTATTATTAGTTTGCTATTTCTGCCTTTGGTATGTTTTTTGGTTTTGTTTTAATTCTTCTTTTTTTTCTATTTATTTATTTTAGAGAGAGCTGGGGAAGGTCAGAGGGAGAGAGAATCTTAAGCAGGCTCCATGCCCAGCACAGAGCCCAATGCGGGGCTCAGTCTCACAACCCTGAGATCATGACCTGAGCTGAAATCAAGAGTCAGACACTTAACCAACTGAGCCACCCAGATGCCCCTCCCTTTAGGTATGTTAATATTTCCTTTGTATGTTTTAGTGCTCCTGTGTTGAGTGCATAAATATTTACAAAAGTTATATCTTTTTGTTGAGTTGAGTCCTTTATCATTATGTAATGTCCTTGTCTATTACAATCTTTGTTTTAAAGTGTTTTTTTTTTTAAAGATTTTATTTATTTGAAAGAGAGAGAGTGAGCACAAGCAGGGGGAGGGGCAGAGGGAGCAGCAGACTCCCCGCTGAGCAGAGAACCCAACACGGGGCTTGATCCCAGGACCCCGAGATCATGACCTGAGCCGAAGGCAGATGCTTAACTGACTGAGCAACCCAGATGCCTCTGAAGTGTTTATATATATATATAGCTACCCCAATTTTATTTTGGTTTCCATTTGTATGGAACATCCTTTTTTATCCCTCTACTTTCAGTCTGTGTGTGTCCTTACATATGAAGTGAGTTTCTTGTAGGCACCATGTGGATGGGTTTCATTGTTTTTATCCATTCAACTACTCTCTGTCTTTTGATTGGGGAATTTAGTCCTTTTATATTTAAAATAATTATTGATAGGTATGTACCTATTGTCTTTTTGTTCATTGTTTCCTGGTTGTTTTGCAGTTTTTGTCTCTTTCTTTATTCTTCTCTTGCTGTCTTCCTTTGGGCTTAATGACTTTATTTAGTGGTAGGCTCAGGTTCCTTACTTATTATCTTCTGTGTATCTATTATAGGTATTTGCTTTGTGGTTACCATGAGGCTTGCATATAACATATTCATATATTCATAAGAATCTGTTTTAAATTGATAACAACTTAAGTTTGAATGCATTTTAAAGCTGTGTGTTTTTACTCTCCCCAGCTTATGTTTTATGTTTTTGTTGTCACAATTTTACATTTATCTTGTGTATCACTTGACTAATTATTGTAGTTACAGTTATTTTTACTGCTTATTCTTTAACCTTCATACTAGTTTTACAAGTGATTAATCCACTACCTTTACTATATATTTACTTTTCCAGTGAGATCTATTCTTTCATGTTTTCTTGTTACTAATTGGCACCCTTTCTTTTCAGGCTAAAAAGTACATTTAACATTTCTTCTAAGGTTAGGTTAGTTTCTTCTAAGGTTAGTTAAGATGGTGAAGTCCTTTAGTTTGCTCATCTAAAAAACTAGCTCTCCTTCAATTCTAAATAATAAGTAGAGTATTCTTGGTTGGAAGATTTTTTTTGCCTACACTTTGAATGTATCATGCCACTCCCTCTGGTCTGCAATGTTTCTGCTGAAAAATCTGTTGATAGTCTAATGGGGGTTCCTTTGTGCCTAAGAAGTTTTTCTCTTGCTGCTTTTGAGATTCCTCTCCTTGTCTTAAACTTTTGACATTTTAATTATAATATGTCTTGGTGTGGGTCATTTTGAGTTTATCTTCTTTGGAACTCTCTGGCTTCCTGGATCTGTATGTCCATTTCTTTCCCCAGGTTAGGAAAGTGTTCAGCCTTTATTTCTTCAAGAAAAATTTCTGCACCTTTTTCTCTTCTCTTTCTGGGACCTCTCTAATGCAAATGTTAGTCCATTTGATGTTGTCCTATAAATCCCTTAAGCTATGTTAACTGTTTAAAATTCTTTTTTTCTTTTTGCTGCTCTGACTGGGGAGTTCCACTATTCTGTGTTTGAGTTCACTCATCTTTTTTCTGCTTCATCTAGTTTGCTGTTGAGCCCTTGTAGTGTATTTTTCAGTTGAATTATTGTATTCTTCAGCTCTGTGACTTCTTATTTGGTACTTTCTCGTGTTTTCTATCCATTTGTTAAAGTTCTCACTGTGTTCATCCATTCTTCTCCCAAGTTGAGTGAGCATCATTCTTCTCCCAAATTGGGTGAGCATCTTTATGACCATTGCTTTGAACTCTTTATCAAGTAAATTACTTACACATTTCATTAAGGTTTTTTCCTGTTTTATCTTATCCTTTTGTTTAGAATATATTCCTCTGTTTCCTGATTTTGCTTGACTCTGTGTTTGTTTCTGTGTATTAAGTGAAACAGCTACCTCTTCCAGTCTTAAAGGAGTGGCCTTGTTTAAGAGATGAGTGTTATTGTTCAGCCTTGTCTAGCTCTTGGTAGGCTCTTGAACCTTTAAGATTCCAAGCAGCCTGTCTTATTTTTAATATAAAGCTCCCATTGTTGGGGTTGTGCCAATTTCTATCTGCCCTAAAGTGGAAGATCTCAGCACCTAAATTCAGGCTGACTGGAAGCCAGACCTTCAGGTAGCAGCTTTTGAGTATGCAAATATATATAGTACTGTGGGACCACAAGCATAAACCCTGCTAGCCACCAGACTAGGTGATCTGGAGGTGTTCCATAGATGACATTAGCAAAAATCAGGGCTCCAGACAAGTGTATATTCTCCTTTCTGGGAGATACTGGAGAGCTGGAGCAAGGCAGAGGGAGAGCACAAAGGTTGTGTCCCCCAGCCTACATTCCCTGAGAGCACCCCTCTAGGCCTCTAGATGTGTGCTAAACCTGGAAGCCTGTGCCTCAGGCAAAAGCTCCAGGACAAACATATACACCTCTTTCACAGAAAGACTAGGGGTGTGTTTCAGTCTACTGTCTGTGCAGTAGTGTTTTGGGGGTAGTAGTCTGCCAAGAACTGATTGTTATAGTCCTGAGGGACGCTGGAACACAACCCTCCCCCAGCCCCTAGATTCAGGCAATCAAGAGGCATCCTGTGGGAAGCAGCCCCCAAAAGTGGGGCACCGGACATGACCAGTGCACTGACTATATGTACAAGCTCCCCTTGCAGAGATCCTGGCATTTTGGCCAGCTCCACATTTGTACCCTCTCTAGGATCAGCAAATGCTCTCAGGGTAAAATAACAGAATCATCTCTTTGGCCTTCTGTACTTGCTTCAATCCTGACTTTTTAAGTCTTCACTATCTTATAGATAGATCTCTTGTGCCTTCAAGTAGACATGATTAATATTTTTGCCCAGCTTTTCTAATTGTCCTCAATTTTAGAGGACTGGTCTGAATTACCTCGTCTGCCATCACTGGAAGTGGAAGTTCTTTCCGTTTTGTTTTTATCTGTCAACACAGTGGTTAATCAGACCTAGTCAACATCTCTGATACCGCAGTGGGTTAATATATATCCAGTCTTCAGCCCCCAGACCGCCGCTACTCCCTTTTCAGACCCTTGCTGGCACAAGGAGCCCAGATAGTATCTCAGTGTTGCAACATGCTGGGGCCTGGGTGTTTAGGGATCAGCTAGAGTCCTGTTCCCTGCCCTTATGGAGCCTGCAGTCTGTCCATTCCTTCTTAAAGCCTCCAACCCTTGTAGGCCATTATTCATTTCAACGTCAACAATATCTCTCCCCAGCTGGTCTGTTGAGTTGCTACTGTCATGATTTCAACTGTCCTTCCCCTGAGTAGACTCTTTTCCAGACTTCTTACTGCCCTTGGGTTGGAAAGGATCAGTCTGAGCCCAGGCATGCCGGTCTGGCCCTATTCTCTCCAGCCTCATGGCTCATAAACCTCATACCGCAGTCCCTGAATGTGTTTTGGCACATAGTAGTTTGTCCTCCTAGACTCAGTGTCACCACCTCTGGGAGCTCTTTCCTGGTTCTCTGAGGCTGCATCAGCCTGAACAGACACTCACTTCTACGGGTCTGTTTCCTCGGCAGGACAAGTATTTTGAAGGCAATGTCAATGTCTTATTCATTTCAGCATCTCTAGCACATAGTACATAAGAGGTATCAGTTCAAGTGGAATGATCTCATTTCTCAAGTTCCATGTATCCCTTGATGCATTTCTTCTTCACCTGTCTCATGAATCCTTTTTCCTGGGAATTCCAGTCATTTTTCTGTCCCTTAATGGGACGCATGCCAGCCACTGGTCTGTTTGCACCCCCATCTTCCAACACACTGAGTTCACAGACCTATGGGATACCCTGACAGTGGACCACCACCTGCTGGTCAATAGGTTTTTAGGACAGTGACAGCTCAGGGCTGCAGACAGAGTAGGGGTCCTTAATTTTAAGGCATTCCATAAAGAATGTAAAACCCTTCTAAGAATAGTATTTTCAGATCTACAATATAAAGCACATAGATTACAAGTGAAAGTCATAATGAAATACAGGTATCAAAATGTTAGAAAACATATATTGCTTATAGATGTGGTATGTATGTATATATAATGCGATACACACATCTCAATCTTACATAACAGGATCTAGTGATTGGTCTAATAACTACTGTTATTTCAAAGTGATGAACAAAAGTTTTGAGGTGTCTGCACAGCGGTCTTGTGAGATGAAATCTCTGATTTCTACAGCTGACACAGTCCCAGGGACTGCTTATACTACTAGAGTTGGTTGCCTACATCCATACAGACAGGAAGTACTGAATTTCAGTTAGAGGTTAGTCAAACTAAAAACCAAATCTTTTCCCATCCAGGTACAAAGACACCCTAAATTCTACTCTCTGATCCCTTGTTGGTGATAGGGGAGGTCTGTGGACCCCAGGTTAGGAACCCCTGAATGGGGCTTCAGAGGCGTGGCGGAAAAATGCATTTAAATACAGTGACTCTTAGTGTGTAATGGGCAACTGAGATAGGAGAGGAGGTGTGGTGGAAACAGCACCTCTAGGTCTGTTTGAATTTCATAGGCATCATTTAGCAGTATTGTGAAGTTTGGCCCAACCTTCCCCTTGCTGTGTCCATTTCCTCATCTATAAAATAGGAATGACAAGGTTTTCCTCACAGGTTGTTAAAAGGATTTAATAAGCTAACATGTAAAAACTCCTGGGGGTCAAATGTTTGATGTTAATGAGAATGTTAATGTTGTTAAATGTCTGTAGAGTGCGCGCACACGCACACGCACACACACACAAACACACACACACATAACTTCTTACAAAACAGAAACCCACCCCAAAGTCTAACTGGCTGTGTGACTCACAGAGATAGTAAACCCTTTCTCGCCTGGCAGATGTGGGTAAGTCTGCCCTGCTGTTTCCACCCCGATCTAAGAGAACAACCACAAAAGCAAACAGTCTCTCACCCTGTTATTTTATTAGAAGCATATTTACATTCTTGCAGTTAAACTTTGCAGAGAAAATTTTACAAAAGTTTTGTATAAAGTTTTGAAATGACATAAAAATAACTTCTATCCTTTGTAAAGGGAAAATATAAGTTAGTTATATTTACTCTGCCAAAAATGGACTGAAAACGAGAAACAGTTCCATCTGTCCCTTACAGAGGAAACATTAGCACAGGGCATGAGGAATACTGTGTGGGCCTTCTCACTGATGGGTATGCACGCTGGCTCCATCATGAGGCTGGAGGACCCAACCTGCCCCCATCCAGAAAGGACAGGGGAGCTATCAGGCCTTGGGCAGCAAAGAACAGGGAAGGAGCAACTCCTTGAATAAGATTCAAGGAATCATGTAAATGTCAAGCCAAATAGGGGAATGATCAGAGACTTTCACCTGAACCATGGCATTTCACCTTAAATACTCTCACACCCCAGGCTGCAAAAGGCAATATTATAAACAAAGCCAATATCGGCCCTGCCTGACCATTTGCCAGTGCTGGCCTTGTCTGGTGGAACTCCGTCAATGTTCTGTAATTACACTGCTGCTAGTTCACATTTTCCCAGCACCTGTGCACCAAAAGGAATAGAAGGGGACGATGGTTTCCCTTGTCTCTCACGTGTGAGACGAGAAAACTGTCCCATCTGGGTCAAATACTGAAGCAGACAAGCTGAATGTTCGCTAACTTAAGAGGACCCCTGCTTTCCCACAGCCCCCAGAGCATCTTCACTGTATACATAAGCCTTGGGAACCCCAAGTCCCTTCTTGTTGTGTGGCTGTCCACCCTCCCCAAGATCCAGTTCTAACCAGCGCCACACAAACTTCAAGAGAATTGCTTTAGGACCAAGCATCAAACCTTAAACATTTAGGAGTGAAGGCAAAGTCCTCCCTGGATCTTAGCCACTCCATCACCAGCAAAATGGTACCCAGACTTAATATATCATCCATAGGATTCCTCAAAATCACCTTCAGTTTTGTTTTAGAGCAGGTATCTTCCTATAGAAGCCATTCATTTATATTTGTTTCAAGTCAGAAATCAAAGTGAACAAAGTTTTCTTTGTAAATAAACTGAATGCCTGTTTGAGCATGACTTTTACTAGGTTATCTACATCCTGCAGCCTGTGGGAATCAGAATCTGTCGGAGAGGCCAGCTGAGTAACCCCAAGGCCCGGGATTCCATCTGAGACACAGAAGCTTTGCATCCGCTGTGTTGCTGGGGGCAGGAAGCATTACATTTCATCCTCAACAGAAATCCCAGTGACCGCCAGCCAGTGTCTCCAGTGTAAGGCCGGACTCCTGCTAGGAGAGGCAGAGGGAAGCAGCCTTCCCATATCACCTGCAGACAGGATGGGCAGGTGTGAGACAGCAGCAGCCTAGGCACAGTCTTCTGTGGTGCGGAACTGACCCCTGGACACAGAAGCCTGTGGGGGCCACAGGGAATCGCAGACTGGCAGCTCAGCTGGTACCATTTATGCCAGCACCCAGCACACTTCCCACCAGTGGCTTCACCGGCACACGCTCAGTGGCACTGGCTTACGCAGTGAACGTGTTTCAACCCACCTGGCACAAGAGGCCTAGGGCAGAGGCAAGCCTGGGTAATGCCAGGGGGCCAAGCCCTATGTATGTGTATGCAGATGTGTGCAGGTAAGGCGGGGGCACGAGATGACATGAAACACCCAAGACCAGCAGAATGAACAGTTCAGGCTCTCCTCCATCCCACTGTTGTAGATACGGCCTTGTCTCAAGAGAAAAGCAAATCGGGGGTTACTGGAAGGATGAGGGCACCCCCTGAGCAGCTGGCTGCAGGGTGGGCTTCACTAGGAACCAAAAGGGCTGTGAAGAGTCATGGTTTTTGTCTGATACTAGAAGGAATGGCTGAAAAGCTGGCAAGAATCACAATATGGACAAACTCATCATAACCAGTGGCAGCACTTTGTGCCCACAGACAGCAAAACCGGTGTTCTGGCAAACAAGAGGGCCTCAAGGCTGCAGAACACCATTCCTCCTGGACCCTGACCCCACTAGCAGCCCAGATCACTGACAACTTGAAGAGATGTGGGGCTCGAACAGGACATACATTAGGATCAGGCCACACATAATAAAACCTCGCCCTCCATAAGTGAGCGAGAATTAAGGAACACTAGGATGGGTCTGTTGGGCACAGCTGGGGTAGCACAAGGCAACGGGCTGGATTCAAGTTATCATGGAAGCAAGAGGGAAGGGGGGTCCTGAGTTACTTGTTCACAGAGGATGGGTGGGCCTTGGAAGCCCCCCACCCTGCCAGCCACAGCTCCAGCTGGCTGTTAAGAAGTATCCACAGAGCTGTAGGGGAAGAACTTGGTGGCCTTATTTGGGGTGGTAGGGTTCAGGCATTCTGTCTCCTCATTCATTTTGAAGAACATCTCCTGTTCTCGCTTCTTCTGGTTCAGATCTTCTTCCAGAGCCTAGGACAGAGAGAGGGCAGACAGAGCTCAGTCAGATCCCATAGGACAGGTCTCCCTATTATAGGACCCCCACCAAAGTGGCCTTCTCTGGAAGCTCGCCCACCCTCCGGGCCTTCAGTGCATAGTAACTTAGTCTTCCCTCTTTCCTTTCCCAGAGCCTCTTTCCTTTCCTCACCCAGAAGATAGGTACCACCTCTTGCTTCCTTCTGCCACAAGCATACAGGAGTTTGCTGTGGGCCAAGGGCGATAGTTTGGTGAATGCCAACTCACTGTGGGGGGAGGGGGGCAGATGCCAGTCTCCTGGCAGGAAAACAGCCAAATGAATGGAGAAAGACCAAGGTAGAAAATGGACAGATTTAACAGCAGGAGGCGGGGAGGTGGGGGGTGGGAGTTGGTGGGGGCAGAAACGTCCAAGTACATAGTGTTCCTAATGAGAGCACTGCCCCACAGAGGTCATCCAGGGCATTGTTTTTAAAGTAATGTGCCCTCACACCACCCCGAGATTCTGATTCTGAAAATTTGTGGTAGGTGTGGTAGGACAGGGGTTGTGTGTGTAATAAAGACACAAGCAGAGTGTCTAGTTGACCATTACTGCAGGAGCTTCCCTGGGGCACATGCAAGTTTATCTAGATAAATGGGATCCTACCAGAAAAATGTCTTGAGGGGTCTCCAATAATAGGCATTCAATTAAAAAGGGAAGCAAAGTGTACTGGAAAGAACATGAGCTTTTTTTTTTTTTAATACTTTTTTGTAAGATTTTTATTTATTTATTGAGAGAGAGAGAACATGAGAGAGAGGAGGGTCAGAGAGAGAAGCAGACCCCCTGCTGAGCAGGGAGCCCAATGCAGGACTCGGTCCTGGGACTCCAGGACCATGACCTGAGCCGAAGGCAGTCGCTTAACCAACTGAGCCACCCAGGCGCCCTAGAACATGAGCTTTAAAGTCATACCGAATTCAGCTTTCTTATTACCAGCTGTGTGGCCTTCACATGTCACCTTTCTTCCTGTGTAAAATGGCAATATCACTACCTATCTAGCAGGGCTGTTGTGAGGATTAAACTAAAAACTAATGGGTCATAATTACTGAGTACTTCCTACATGTCAGGTGTTATGCTAAGTGCATTATATCTTATTCAGTCTTCACCCTATGAGACAGATACTATTATTTCCATCTTATAGGTGGAGAAACTGAAGCTCAGAGGGCTTAGATCACTTGCCCCTGGTTACTCAGCTAGCTAGGGGCATAGCCAAGATGGGAACCTACCTCTAACTTCAGAGTTAAAGCTCTGAAACACTGTGGTCCACCATCTGCAAAGCTGGGCATATACCCGGGATGCTCAGGAAATATGGCTTCATTATTAAGCATCTGACCATCAGCCCAATTTCTTTATTTTCACTAAGAAGTAACTGTTCACAGGATTTGACCAGCCTTCTATTATGTGTCTTTTTTTTTTTTTTTTTAAGATTTATTTGTTTATTTGAGAGAAAGAGACAGAGAATGAGCAGGGGGAGGGGCAGAAGAAGAGGGAGACAAGCAGATTCCCCACTGAGCAGGGAGCCTGATGTGGAGCTTGAGCCCAGGACCCTATGACCAGAACTGAAATCAAGAGTCGGACACTTAACCAACTGAGGCACCCAGGTGCCCCCTATTATGTGTCTCTTTTTAAGACTATTCTTCAGGGCGCCTGGGTGGCTTAGTCGGTTAAGCGACTGCCTTCGGCTCAGGTCATGATCCTGGAGTCCCGGGATCGAGTCCCACATTGGGCTCCCTGCTCGGCGGGGAGTCTGCTTCTCCCTCTGACCCTCCTCCCTCTCATGCTCTCTGTTTCTCATTCTCTCTCTCGCAAATAAATAAAATCTTAAAAAAAAAAAAAAGACTATTCTTCAGATGCCCTGAAATCTGAAATTCAGATCCTCCCTTATGCTCTTATTCCTTTAGTAGTACTAAATTCCAGTGAGTTCTCTATACTTCAAGGAGAGATGGGGAAGGGACACTGGATCACAATACCAATCTTTCCAATCTGTTATAGGATGTCCATCTGAAGGCAGGCAAGGTATTTGAAGTCATGCCTCATCTTGGACTTGACTGATATGAAATTTCTGGTAATTTCACACAGATTCTTGGCTCAAGTTCTCCTTTGCTGGATGTATTATTAAAGTATTTGTGATAAGCAAACATTATATATAAGCAAGATAAAAGTAGTACTGTTTAAGCTTTTGTAACAGAAGTTACAAGATCCAGTGCCTGTGGGAGGTAGCCAAATGAACTGAATAAGTGAAGACAGCTAGGTGTGAGGCAGTGAGGAGTGGTGGGGATTGTGGGGAGGTGAAGAGCACATGCTATGTCTGAAGAAGATCGTTTCTTCTTAGCCCCAGCTGATGTGTGTCATGTGGTATGACAAACCCAGTGTTGCTAGAGCTCCTGGGTTTTCAAAAAAACTGAAACTCAGGATTTTTACGTAAAATTTCCTTACACAGACATTCCTTGCAGATAGTGTGGGTTTGGTTCCAGACTACCTCAATAAAGCAAATATCACAGTAAAGTAAGTCGAATGAATTTATTTCCTAGTGCATATAAAAATCATGTTTACCAAAACAAGTTATGTTTATAGCATAGTATAGTCTTAAATGTGCAACAGCATGGTCTAAAAAAAAATGTACATACCATAATTAAAATGTACTTTATTGCTAAAAAATGCTAACCATCATCCGAGTTTTTAGCAATTCATAATGTTTTTGCTGGTGAAGGGTCTTGCCTCAGGCTTGATGGCTGCTGACTGAACAAGGTGGTTGCTGAAGGTTGGGGTGGCTGTGGCAATTTTTTTTTATTATTGAAGTATAATTGACATACAATGTTTATATTACTTTCAGGTGTACAACATAGTGATTCGACAATGCTGTACATTATGCTTTGTTCGCCATGGTAAGTGTCGTTATTTCTTAATTTTTATTATTGAAGTTCACATACAAGGCAGTTTCTTAAAATAAGACAACAGTGAAGTTTGCCACATCGACTGACTCTTCCTTTCACAAACATTCTCTGTAGCATGTGATGCCATCTGCCAGCATTTTACCCACAGAACTTCTTTCAAAATTAGAGTCAGTCCTCTCAAACCCTGCCTCTGTCTTATCAACTAACCATGCGATATTTCCAAATTTTTTGTCATTTCAATAATCTTCACCGGGAGTAGATTCCATCTCAAGAAACCACTTTCTTTGTTCATCCATAGGAAGCACTTCCTCATCCATTTAAGTTTTGTCCTGAGATTGCAGTATTTCAGCCACACCTTCAGGCTCCACTTCTAGTTCTTGTTGTCTTGCTGTTTCCACCACATCTGCAGTTATTTTCTCCATTGAAGTCCTGAATGCCTCAAAGTCATCCATGACGGTTGGAATCCTCTTCTTTCCAAACTCCTGTTCAAGTTGATATCTTGACCTTTTCTCATGAATCGTGAATGTACTTAATGGCATCTAGAATGGTGAATCCTTTCTAGAAGGTTTTTGACTTACTTTGCCTAAATCCATCAGAAGAATTACTGTCTATGGCAGCTATAGCCTCACGAAATGTATTTCTTAAATAATGACACTTGAAAGTCAAAATTACTCTTGACCCATGGGCTGCAGAATGGATATTGTGTTAGCAAGCATGAAAACATTGATCTTTTAAAACAACAACAACAATATCATTAGGGGTGCCTGGATGGCTTAGTCAGTTAAGTGTCCGGACTCTTGGTTTCAGCTCAGGTTATGATCTCAGGGTCGTGAGATCGAGCCCCACGTTGAGCTCTGTGCTGGGCATGGAGCCTGCTTAAGATTCTCTCTCTCTCTTTGCACCCTCCACCCCTGCTCACACATGCTCATGCTCTCTCTCTCTCTCAAAAACAAAAAACCACCAATCATGTACATCTCCATCAGAGCTCTTGGGTGACCAGGTGCACTGCCAATGAGCAGTAGGTCTCAACAGTAGGCTTAAAATAGTAAACCACACTGGGAGTGGGTATGCTGTCATCAAGGCTTTGCTGTTCCATTGAGAGAACAAAGGTAGAGTAGATTTAGCATAATTCTTAAGGGCCCTAGGATTTTTGGAATGGTAAATGAGCATTGGCTTCAACTTAAAGTCACCAGTTGCACTAGCCCGTAATGAGAGTCAGCCTGTCCTTTGAAGCTCTGAAGGCAGGCACTGACTTCTCCTCTCCAGCTATAAACTCTTCTTCTAACAGAAGGCTGTTATATTGAAAATCTGTTATTTAGTGTAGCCACTGTCATGAATTATCTCAGCTACATCTTCTGGATACCTTGCTGCAGCTTCTACATCAGCACTAGCTGCTTCACCTTGCACTTTTCTGTTCTGGAGACGGCTCCTTCCATTAAGCCTCATGAACCAAACTCCGCTAACTTCAAACTCTTCTTCTGCAGCTTCCTCACCTCTCAGTCTTCACAGAACTGAAGACAGGCAGGGCCTTACGCTGGATTAGGTCTTGGCTTAAGGGAATTTGTGGCTGGTTTGATCTACAAAAATTTTCTCCATTTCAGCAATAAGGCTGTTTGGCTTTCTTATCATTCATGTATTCACTAGAGTAGCACTTGTAATTTCCTTCAAAACTTTTCCTTTGCGTTCACAACTTGACTATAACTGTTTGGTGCAAGAGGCCAGATTTTGGCCTATCTCAATTTTCAACATTGCCTTCCTCACTAAGCCTAATCATTTCTAGCTTTTGATTTAAAGTGAGAGCCGTGCAACTCTTCTTTTCACTTGAGCACTGCGAGGCCACTGTAGGGTTACTAACTGGCATAATTTCGATATTACTGTGTCTCATGGAATGAGGCCTGAGCAGAAAGGGAGAGAGCCAGGGGAATGGCCAGTCAATGGAGCAGTCAGAAGATACACACCAATTGGCCATCTTATTGTTTTTTCCTAAAGTGTATTTTATGATTTATTTTATTGAAGTATAGTTGACACACAATGTTACATTAGTTTCCAGTGTACAACACAGTGATTTGACAAGTCTATATATTATGCTATGCTCACCACAAGTGTAACTACCATCTGTCACCACATAATGCTATTATAATACTCTTGACTATGTTCCCAATGCTGCAACTTTTATCCCTGTGACTTATTCATTCTACAACTGGAAGCTTGTATCTCCCACTCCCCTTCACCCATTTTTGTCCATCCCCTCACCCCTCTCCTCTCTGGCAACCATCAGTTCTCTACACTTAATGGGTTCGTTTCTGCTTTTTGTCTACTCTGTTCTGTTTAGATTCCACATATAAGTGAAACATACCATACTTTTCTTTCTGTGTCTGACTTATTTCACTTAGCATTATACCCTCACGTTGTCTGAAATGGCAAAAATCTCATTTTTCATGGCTAATATTCCAGTGTGTGTGTGTGTGTGTGTATCACGTCTTCTTTATGCATTCATCGATTGATGGACACTTGGGTTACTTCCCTATCTTGACTATTGTAAATAATGCTGCAATAAATATAGGGGTGCAAGTATCTTTTCAAATTAATGTTTTTGTTTTGTTTTCTAAATACCCAATAGTGGAATTACTGGAGCATATGCTATTTCTAATTTTTTGAGGAACTTCCATACTGTTTCCCACAGTGGCTGCACCAACTTACATTTCCACCAACAGTGCACAAAAGTTCCTTTTTCTCAGCATCCATGTCAATACTTGTTATTTCTTGTCTTTTTAATATGAGCCATTCTGACAGGTGCAAGGTGATACCTGCTTGTGGTTTTGATTTGCATTTCCCTGATGATTAGTGATGTTGAACATCTTTTCATGTATCTGTTGGTCAAATGTCTGTCTTTGGAAAAATGTCTATTCATGTCCTCTACCCATTGGGAGGTTTTTTGGTGGTTAGTTAAGTTCTTTATGTATTTTGGATATTAACCCCTTATCAGACATCATTTGCAAATATCTTTTCCCATTCAGTAGGTTGCTTTTTCATTTTGTTGGTTTCCTTTGCTATGCAAAAAGGTTTTTAGTTTGGGGTAGTCCCAATAGTTTATTTTTGCTTTTGTTTCCCTTGCCTTAGGAGACATACCTAGAAAAAAATACTACTACAGCCTATGTTAGAAAAATTACTGCCTATGCTGTCTTCTAGGATTTTTGATTTCAGGTCTCACATTTAGGTCTTTAATCCATTTTGAGTTTATTTTTATGTGTAGTATAAGAAAGTGGTTCATTTTCATTCTTTTGTATGGCTGTCCAGTTTTTTTTTCCCCATTGTATATTCTTGCCTCCTTTGTCATAGATTAATTGACCATATAAGTGTGGGATTATTTCTGGGCTCTATTATGTTCCACTGATTTGTGTCTATTTTTGTGTCAGTACCATACTGTTTTGGTTATTCCAGCTTTGTAGTGTATGTTGAAATCTGAGATCCTGATACCTCCAGCTTTGTTATTTTTCAAGATTTCCTTCACTATTTGGGGTCTTTTGTGGTTCCATACAAATTTTAGTATTATTCTAGTTCTGTGAAAAATACTGTTGGTATTTTGATAGGACTGCATTGAATCTGTAGATTGCTTTGAGCATATGGACATTTTAACAGTGTTAATTCTTTCAGCCCATGAGCATGGAATATCTTTCCATTTGTTTTTGTCATCTTCAATTTCTTTCTTTTTTTTTTTTTTAAGATTTTATTTATTTGACAGAGAGAGACACAGTGAGAGCAGGAACACAAGCAGGGGGAGCGGGAGAGGGAGAAGCAGGCTTCCTGCAGAGCAGGGAGCCCGATGCAGGGCTCGATCCCAGGACCCTGGGATCATGACCTGAGCCGAAGGCAGACGCTTAACGACTGAGCCACCCAGGTGCCCCATCTTCAGTTTCTTTCATCAATGTCTTATAGTTTGGTTGACTCCTAGGTATTTTATTCTTTTTGGTGCAGTTATAAATGGGATTGCTTTCTTAATTTATCTTTATTGCTACTGTGTTATTAGTATATAGAAATACCACCAATTTCTGTGTATTAATTTTATGTCCTGCAGCTTTACTGAATTTAGTACTTCTAATATAGTTTTTTTTTTTTTTGGTGGCGTCTTTAGGGTTTTCTATGTATAGTATTACATCATCTGCAAATAGTAACAGTTAAAAGGCATCCAAATTGGTAAGGAAGTATTTAATCTTTTTTTTTAGCCCATTGCTGTGGCTAGGATTCTCACTACTATGCTGAATAAAAGTTGTGAGAGTGGGCACACTCTCCTTGTCTTATTCCTGATCTTAGAGGAAAAGTTCTCAGTATTTTACCATTGAGTTATGTTTGCTGTGGGTTTTTCACATATGACCTTTATTATGTTGTATGTTCCCTCTAAACCCACTCTATTGAGAGTGTTTATCACCAACAGATGCTGGATTTTGTTAAAGCTTTTTCTGCATCTACTGAGATGGTATGACTTTTATCCTTCATTTTGTTGGTATATATCATATTGACTGATCTTGCATCCCCAGAAAAAAATCCTACTTGATGATGGTAAATGATCCTTGTTGAATGTGGTTTGCGAATACTTTGTTCAGAATTTTGGCACTTTGTTCATCAGGGATATGGCCTGTGGTTTTCTCTTTTTTAGTGTCTTTGGTTTTAGTATCAGGATTAATTCTGGCCTCCTAGAGTGTACTTGGAAGCTTTCTTTGCTCTTCTATTTTTTGGAATAGATTGAGGAAAATAATCTCCTCTTTAAATGTTTGGTAGAATTCACTGTGAATCCATCTGGCCCTAGGCTTTTTTGTTGTTGCTGGTAGTTTTTTGATTACCAATTTCATTTCATTCCTAATAATTGTTTTCTATTTCTTCCTTAATAATTGTTTTCTATTTCTTCCTGATTCAGTTTTAGAAGATTGTTTCTAGGAATTTATCCATTTCTTCTAGGTTGTCCAATTTGTTGGCATATAATGTTTTGTACTATTCTTTATAATCCTTTATATTTCTGTTGTGTTGGATGTTCTCTTTCATTTCTGATTTTATTTGAGTCCTTTCTCTTTTTTTCTTGATAGACTGGCTAAAGGTTTATCCATTCTGTTTAACTCTTCAGAGAAGTGGCTCTTGGTATTCACTGATTTTTTTTTCTATTGGTTTGTTAGTCTCAATTTCATTTGAAGCTCTAATCTTTATTTCCTATCTTCTATTAACCTTAGGCTTTGTTCTTTTCTAGCTCCTTTAGGCATAAGGTTAGATTATTTATGTGAGATTTTTTTCTTGTTTCTTGAGATAAGCCAGTATCACTATAAACTCTCCCAAAGATTTTGAATCATTGTGTTTTCATTTATTTCCAGTCTCATACTGTTGTGGTTGGAAAAGATGCATGATATGATTTCAGTCTTCTTAAATTTATTGAGACTTGTTTTGAAGTTCACCATCTTTTGTGGTCAAGTTTCATGGCACCCCAAAACAGTTATGATAGTAACATCAAAGATCACTGATCACCGTAACAAATAATAATGAAAAGTTTAAAATATTGCAAGAATTACCAAAATCTGACACAGAGACATGAAGTAAGCAAATGCTATTGGAAAAATGACACTTACATATATATATACTCACCATGGGGTTGCCACAAACCATTAGTTTGTTGGGGGGGAACACAATTGTCTGTGAAGTACAATAAAACAGGTATGCCTGTACTTAATTTAAAGGTTGGCAACTTTTTTTTTTTTCTTTTAGATTTTATTTATCTGAGAGAGAGTGCACAAGCAGGGGGAACGGCAGGTAGAGGGAGAAGCAGGCTTCCACTGAGCAAGGAGCCCGATGCGGGGCTCAATCCCAGGACCCTGGGATCATGACCCAAGCTGAAGGCTTGGTCAACTGACTGAGCCACCCAGGCGCCCCAAGGTTGGCAACTTTCAAAAAAATGTTGAGATTTCTATATGTTGGCCAAACCTAACACCTGTAAGCCAATTTCAGTTTGTGACCTCTGCTATAGGAATAACAATTATCATAGCTACCACTTTCAGAGCAGAGACGTTTAGCAACTTGCCCAGGGTTTCACAGCTAGTAATAGGGGAGTCAGGACTTTATTGCATGCCTGTCTTACTCCAAAGCCTGTGCTCTGGAGCACTACTCTCTCATACCTACCACATATAGTCATCTATATGAGTCTAATCTTTTTTCTGTAAAGGGCCAGATTATAAAGATTTTCAACTTTGCAGGCTGTGAGGTCTCTGTCACAACTAGTCAACTGCCGTGGTAGTGCAAAATCAGCCAGAGACAATATGTAAACAAATGAGCTTGGCTGTGTTCCAATAAAACTTTATTTACAAATATAGATGGTAGGCCAGATTTGGCCCATGGACAATAGTTTACTAACACTTGCTTTAAGGGAAGAAATGTTATCTACATTTTATAGCCCTAAAAAGCGAGGTTGAAAGGGAAGACTTGTCTGAGGCCATATTCTGTGTTAACTGTCACCCAAGCACCACTTTATTGCCGCTACCAGATATTCTGTACTTACTTGGAAGAAAGAAGTCTGAATTTTTCTAAAACTATTCTATAGTGTACAGTCATCTCCCCTGTATAGCTCAAGACTGTAGATTATAATGCAAAAGTAGTATCACTTCTGGTTCAGTGTTCCAACAGTAACCCAGATAGCTAATGACAGACGGTTCTACGTAGAGTTCTGCAAAAAAGGACGCCTGGGTGGCTCAGTTGGTTAAGTGTCTACCTTTGGCTCAGGTCATGATCCCAGAGTCCTGGGATCGAGTCCTGCATCAGGCTCCTTGTTCAGCGGGGAGTTTGCTTCTCCCTCTGCCCCTCCCCCCTGCTTGTAGTCTCCCTCTGTCTCTCAAATAAATAAAATCCTAAAAAAAAAAAAAAGAATTCTGCATAATAGCAGCCCCACAGGCAACATCCAATGCAGCTCCCCAGACATACACTGTGGTACCTCCTCTAAATCCAGGTGCCCTGGAAATAATGAGGCAGTTGCTAGAGGCAACGTGATCATTCATTTTCAGGATGTGCCAAGGATATAGAACAGCCATGTAAGAGAACCAGGTGAACATTTATTTCCTGATACCAGAGTCAACCTATGTCAGCAGGAGCATTATTGATTTGAGTATCAAGTATCAAAAGTCCCAACAGGCAGTGATAGAGAAAATGACAAACATGGACCTGCTAAGAGGAAGGTCTGGGACCATGGCCACTTCCAGACAAAAAGCTCCATTAGCACAGGTGCAGAAGTCTCACTTCAAGGACTTCCGAGGCCATCAGACAGCTGAGGTGGGCAGCTGCCTCTTGTCCAGAACACAGTTAGAACAAGCAGAGCTGATGTATGATGGCAGAACCAACCTCAGGGCTTCAGGATACCTGATCAAGGGCAATTAGGGGGTAAGCTCTCTCCTCAGAGAGTTTAGGAGTGGAAGGAAAGGAGTATGTCCTTGGTCTGTTCTATGGGCTGGCTAATGACTTTTTGCATCACACTATACAATATTCACATCCACTTTACAACTGACTGCACTTAGGACCTGTGATGGTTAATTTTACGTGTCAACCTCGCAAGACATGGTGCCCAGTTGTTTGGTCAAATACCCATAGAGATGTCATTGGGAAGGAACTTTTAGATGTGATTAATATTTAACTCAGTAGACTCTGAGTAAAGTAGATTACCCTCCCTAATGTGGGTGAGCCTCATCCAACTAGTTGAAGGCCTCAAGACTGAGGTTCCCCTAAGGAAAAAGGAATTCTGCCTCCAGACTGCCCTGGGACTCAAAACTGCAACCTCAACTCTTCCCTGGGTCTCCAACCTATAACCTGCCCTGCAGATTTCAGACTTAGCAGCTATCCACAATCGTATGAGCCAGTTTCTTAAAGTAAATGTATAAATCCATATCTTATTATTACCTATATTCACATCGTAGGCAGACACCTGTGGCTCAGCATGAAGAATCTACCACCAAGCCCACAAGCCCAGACATGGTTACCTTTTTGCGTGGCCGAAGCTTGTCCCGCCATTCCTTCAGGTTCTGGTTATGGCTCTCATCTAGAGCCTTCAGCTTCTGGGTTTCATGTTCTACCAGGAGGTGACACTTTTCATTCTGGAACAAATTCCAGGCAGAACAGGTAAGAAACTCAGAAGGCAGAGGTGGAGAGGGCTGAAACGTACCTCATGCTGTAGTCGTGACAGCACCAGCATTACATTCATTTATTTCTTCTCCTTGATTATAATTTATATGAAACTCTGTAAGTACATAGATACCAAGATATGCCTGGAGGAATATTTCAGAATATTCATGTTAACAGTTCTTATTATGTGATGGGATCTGCAGTAATTTGCAGCTCTCTTCTTTGTGCTTTTTTGCATTGTTTGAATTTTTCAACATGAACGTATATGTCACTTTAACAAAACATTAACAAAAAATAAAAATAAGTCCCCTAATCCCACCACTAGAGGCAAACCACTGCAAAAGTTTAGATGTTCTAGATGTTGTTTAGCTCACCCTGTATATACATTTCTGAAAACTGCTTCCCCCAACCCTTACCATTATAATGTAACATTTCTACACAGAATTAACATTTTTCATAATCATTTTTAATGCCTACAGAATATCCCACAGTGTGGATTCATCAAATTTACTTAAACATTCCCCTATGTCTGGTCACTTAGGTTGCTCTTAATTTTCACTATTTTAAATAGCATTGTATTCATGCTTTGGACTGAATTGTGTCTCCCCAAAATTTGTATGTTGAAGCCCTAATCCCCAATATGATGGTATTTGGAGGTGGGACCTTTAGGAAAAAATTAAGTTTAGTTGAGGTCCTAGGGGTGGGGCCCTCATGATGGGATTAGTGTACTTAGAAGAGACACTAGAGGGGTTGCTTTCTCGTTCTCTCTGCCATGTGAGGACAGAGCAAGAAGGCAGACATCTGCAGGCCAGGAAGAGAGGCTTCATCAGAACCCAACCGCACTGGTAAGCTGATCTTAGACTTCCAGGCTCCAAAACTCCAAAACTGTGAGAAAATAAACTGTCGTTTAGGCCACCTAGACTGGTATTTCGTTATGGCAGCCAGAGTTAAGATTCACTATATATGTAATTTTCTGTATTGTATGTCATTTCTTCAGGAGAAATTTGTAGTAAGGATGAGGACATGGACCTGACTGAGACACTCCCAACATTACCGTTCTCTCTCTGAGGTAAGTTATCCGTCTCACAAAAGTTACTTAGAATTTCTCATAGGCAAAAGGGACAAGTCCCTGTTGATTCCTCACAGAGAATATAAAGCAAGGGGCAAGTCCCTTCATCCAGATGCCTCAACCTATTGGGTTGGAAGAGTGAAACCCATTGGGGGATTTTCATTTTGGGCTTCTGAGAGTTTACAAATCGGTTTAGTTAGAAACAATACTCCTAGCAGCGTGGAGTACCTTTGACCTGCCAGGAGCTGGGCCCCTGGGACTTTATGAATGCTCCCAGTAACTCCATGAGGCAGGGATGCAGATGCAGAAGGTGAGGGGGCTGGCTAAAATTCACACAGCAACAAATGGCAGAGTCCCTACCTGACAGGCTTCAGCGCCTGTCATGTTTTCTCCACACTTCTCTGCCTCTCCAGAAATTGCCAAATGGATCCAATAGCCTGACCAATTTCCGGAAATCAGAGGTTTGAGTCGGCCCATCCCTCAGGTATGGCAATGCCTTGCTCCACCACAAGGGGGCTCCAAGTACCAGCTCATGGGGTGGCACCCCTCAGGCAGGGGGCAAGCTCAGGAGTCAGGAATCTTGAAGAGGTCAGGACCTCTCTGGGGAAAAGGGACACCAAGATCAGGATACCCTTCCCTGATCTCAGTGGGAAAGCTTTGAGCCTCTTGCCATTAAGGATGATATTAGCTGTAGGTTTTTGTGGGTGTTCTTTGTCAAGTTGAGGAAGTTCCCCTCTGTTCCTGGTTTACTAAGATTGAGTGTTGGGTTTTGTCAAATGCTTTTTTGCATCTGTTGATGTGATCATGTTCTTGTTTAGCTTGTTGATGTTCTGGATTACACTGATTTTTGAATGTTGAACCAGCCTGGGATAAAGCCCACTTGGATTCTTTTTATATGTTGTTGGAGTCCAAGGGGCGCCCCGTTACGTGCTAATATTTTGTTGAGGATTTGTGCATCTGTATTTACGAGAGATAGTGGTTTGTTGTTTTCCTTACTTATAATGTCTAGTTTTAGTAGGAGGGTAATTGGGACACCGTGTCCCAAGACACAGTGATGACCAAGAAATCCAGCAGCATGCCAGGCCCCAGGCAAGGCACTTTCAGTCAGTTATCTCATTTACAGAGCCTCACTCCAGTCCTACAAAGTAGGAATTCTCACCCCCACCCCATACCCATTCACAGCCTGGGAGGGGATGGGATGGGATTTGGCCAACATTACACAGCAGGATGGAAATGGTTTTAGCCCAGGCTCCTTTGATGAGTCTTTGGTCCCTGAGCGTGGACTGCCTTGAGGGAAACTGAGGCAGTCCAAGAAGGGGGGCAGGGAGGGCCGTACCTGCAACTGCTGCAGCTCGCTCATGTTGCTCTCACACTGTGCCATCATGTCCCGCATCTGGTTGTCGTGTTTTTGCTGCTGCTGCAGCCGCTCCGACTTCTGCCTCTTCTCCTCTTGCTGGGAGAACTGCAACAGAGAGAGGGTGAGCGCCTCAGAGGGCCACAGGCCTGGCCGGGGGACCCACCTCCACCCGTCAGAGGGGCTGCTTTGTGCACAACCCGAGTTGTGCCCTCCTCCTGAGCTGAGACCCAGGCTGGTGGGGACACAACACTGTGTTGTTGGGACACGGGCCAAGGGCCGCCGACTCCACGTCCCCAGGACACAGGGGTGACATGCAGGGGGCGTCTTGGTAGACGAGCGGAAGGGGTTTACCAGCAGAGGAAGCTGCAGGACTGAGAACCAACATCCGGAAGGGAACGTGAGCAAGCTTCCTCGTGGGTCCAGCAGGGCGGGGGGCTGATGAGGGTGTGACTGGCACACCCGGTGCTGCAGCTTATATTCTCTGTTCCCCCAACCATGTAAGACTCAGGCCCCAGCAAACCTGCAGCGCACCCATGGGGCCCCCACCTGCTTGATCTTCTCGCGCTGCTCAGAGGCACTGCCCGCGCCGTTGATGTGGAGGCTCTTCTTATACATGGCCATGCGCGTCTTGCCCTCGCTCCTCTGAATCTTGGGCAGCCGTGCTTTCTCCTGCTGCTGCCGCACCTTCAGCTGCTCCATCATGCGCTGATTGTAGCGCTGCATCTGCTCCCGCTCCTGGGGGGGTGGCCAGCCGGGCCTGAGGCCACGTGTGCTCTGGGCCCCGGGGGTGGCAGGAGAGGCCCAGGGCTGCCACACTCAACTCAGGAGCCCAGGACCTGCGTGGCCCCAAATGCTCAGCAGAGCAAGGCTGCTACCATTGTACTTCTACTGTTCATTTTTAAAGTGAGAACAGAAAATGTTACTTTCTGTTAATGTTTTGGATTTTTACCTTCTAAATGCCTTCTCGTATCATCTGTGGTGGCAGGCCATTAGAGCTAATACCTCAGAGGAAAACGTACACTAACAGGGACGGTTCATCATTCTTGATGGCAGGTGTCAAAAGTCTTATTAAATTTGAGTTTTTCCTTCACCTATTTGCATTTCAGAACTTGGCATGGCCATCCTCTCCTCCAAGGAGCCTCCCCTGACTTCCTAGCCAGGGGGGGGCACCCTTATTAGAGCCACCATAGCCCTATGCTGACTGCCACCATTGCGTTTAGATTAGATGATATAATTACCCACTGACTGTACATGCCCCCCTCGGCTTGTCTGTCTCTGTGCCCACTGAGGGGATCAAGCCAAGACAGACAGTCACACAGAAGGAGAGGGTGCTCTGGCCCTTGCCTGGCCTGAGGGGGTTAAGGAAGGCTTCCTGGCAGAGGTGGTGTTTAAATTGAGACTTAAAAGCATTCTGAGGGCATGCATGTGAAAGAGAGATAAGGGGAAAATGGAAAGATGAGGGAAAAGGGACAAAAGTGAAAGACACACCCTAGGGAGTGAATGAGGGAGCTCCCGTCTGCTGCCCTGCATGGTCTCCCCTATTCCTGGCCCCCCCACCTGAGGCAGGACATCCCAAGAACCTCCCCGGGCCTCACCATGACCAACACCTGGCTCCTCTTGGGAGCACAACTTGTATTCAAAGGGCGCCCCGTTACGGCGTGGCCTCACCGCCCTACCCAGCTCTTTTCGTGGCAGCCCTCTCCTCACCTTCTCGTGCTTGCGCACCAGCTCATGCCGCTGGAGAAAGTACTGGTCTTTGAGCTGCTGCTTCACCAGTTGGTGCCTCTCCTGCAGGTGATGCTCCTCCATTTCCCACAGGGCTGCCTCCCGGTCTGTGGAGGATGAGGCCTAATGAGATGCTAATGGCCAGAGCCCCACTGGGCCCTGCCCTGCCCTGCATCAGATGATAGCTCCCAGGAGAGTGGTACACCAGGAAGTGACTGGAGTCCGAAGCCAGAGAAACCAGAGACCTAGGCTGAAGCCCAGCTCATTCACTGGGGTTTGGGACAGGTGGTAAACCCTCTCCGGGCCCCCACTCCTGCCTCTGCCAAATGGGTACAACCACACCACAGAGGGAGAAATGTTCTTGGGAGACATGTTTATGTTCAGTGTTTCTTAATGGGCAGGTGGGAAGGGCTCATGAAGCCCCATGAAGAGGACAGGACAGCCCTCTTGTCACTATTTCCTCCTTTGGAAAATGGGGACACCTCCTTGGCCACTGCATGTCCCTTATATATACATGATTGAGACATAAGTATCTGGCATTTTATCACTGGAAGTCTATTATCTGATCCTCTGCTCAGCCACAGGGAGCTGGTGTCAGATGAAGACCTCATGCCCTGCAAGACACAGAGCGGGCTGTGCTCAACCCACTAAGAATGGTCAGTTTATCGCACTGCATTCCGATCTGTGAAAACCGGTAGCCACCCACAGTACATCGGAACGGTGATTTGGCTTCCTGACCAAAATCAGAACCACTGCCCCACAAGTAGGGTGGTTCTTCTGGACATCATGGGACAAAAAAAGAAAATGCGGGCTTTCCTGAAACATCTATGGCTCCTCAGAACGTCAGAACATGCAGGACCCCATTTTGCTGGCCCGCACCCAAGTACTGAGGGGTCTACACTGCTCAGCTGTGTGGGCCATCACAGCGCTGGCTGTAGCTTCTTCGTTGTGTCAGGAAGCCGGAGACGGTGCTGGTACCCTGGCCCTATGTCTTTTACCTCTTCACGACAGGCTGCACCGTTGGCTCAAAAGCCCACAGGTGCCACACTCAAATCTTCACCCATCCAACTGTTTTACATGTAGCTCAAACAACAGATCTTTGGCCATTTAGAGCCCACTTGCTTTGCACACCCACACAAAACTGCACCAAACATCTGCTAGGCAGAGATGAGATAAAGCCAGGGCTATAGAAAGACCCTAAGGCCTGCTGCCCTTCAAAGCTCTACCCTAGGACCCCCTGCTGAGTGACCCCATCCAGATACAGAAGCCCTCCCTCCCCAGGAGTTCCTCTGCCCTCCCTCTGGGAGTGGCCCACACTGGGGTCTCCGGAAGATCCCGTGCTGTGAGGGACCCGCCAGCGTGCAAACCTGTCAGAGCCCCACCACACCAGGGTGGTTAGGAGCTCAGCTTCAAGAGGAGACCCGTGGTCAAGGCCCACTCTACCACCCATTAGCCAAGCAACCTCAGCCAAAGCACAGTCGCTCTGCAAGCATCTGTTTTCTCGTCTACAAAAATGCCTCATTGCATTAAGGTGAAGATTCAAGGAGACTGAGCCATGAAGACTGGCATACGGCCTGGCAAAGCAGTCGCTCGATATACAATAGCTCTTATAAGGGGCTCAATACTGTCCCCACTCCCGGCAGCCTGTTCACCCGGTGTACTTATTTACAATTTCTACCCACCCTAAATCCCTCCCTCCCTTATCAGGAATACTGTTGGTGACAACTGGTATCTGTGCCTCAGTCCTGACTTTAGTGGGGGTTGTCCCCATGTTTCACTCTGAAGGATGCTGTTTGGTGTTAGGATGGAGAAGAACCTAGCAGTTCCTAGCAGAGCCCACTCTCTGGCACCCACCTCGAAGGAGTTCTTGCTTCCTAGTGAGACACTCGCGCTCCTTGTCACAGATCTCCCGCCTGTTGTCAGCCGTGATCTTCTTCATCGCCAGCTCCAGGTCCTCCTTCTGCTTGGCCAGGAAGTCCCGGTCCTGTGTGGGAGAGAGGAGGACAGACCTTTAGCGCTGGCCTCGGCGTCTCACCCTCTACTGTTACTACAGAAGAAAAGTCATCACGAGCAGCAGAGAAGACATATATGGGGAAATGTGAGACTTAGAGACACGTCAACCAATTGTGGCAAGTGCACTTTATGTGGACCCTGATTCAATCAAATTGTAAAAAAAAAAATTAATGAGACAACTGGAAATGTAACTAATGATTCAACTGCAAATATGTCAATAAGTAATTATTGTTAAATATTTAAAGGTTTAGGTACGTTTGTAGCATTGTGGATTTTTTGAGAGATACATACTGAGACATTTACAGGTGAAATGACAGGATATGTGGGATTTGATTTAAAATAACACAGAAGGGTGGGGGAGTAAGGGAACATGAGTTCATAATTCCTGAGATCAGGTAAGGGGGTTCCGGTTGTACCTATTTCTGCCTGTATTTTTAATTTGCAAGAGTTAAAAAATTAAAATTTAGATACTTTAGGGAACACATAAGCAAAAACAAAAATCCCCACAAATCCTATCACCCAGGAGTAGCAACTGGTTTGGGGGTATCTATACAAACATGTTTATGTAAAAGGACTTAGAGATTTGTACACCCATATTCATAACAGTATTCACGATAGCTACGGGGGAAACAACTCAACTATCCACAGACAGAAGAGTGCATAAACAAAATGTAGTACAGATACACTGTGGAACATTACTCGGCCCTGAAAAGGAAGGAAATTCTTACACATGCTACAACATGGGTCAATCTCGAGGGCATGTTAATTGAAGTAAAGCAGACACAAAAGGACAAATACTGTATGATCCCATGTATAGGAGGTCAGATTCGTGGAGACAAAGTAGAATGGTGGTTGCCAGAGACTGGGGGAGGGGTATCATGGGGTGTTACTATTTATTCAGTAGTAGTTTCAGTTTTGCCAGATGAAGGGTTCTGGAGATGGGTGATGGGGATGGCTGGCACAGTGGTGTGGATGTACTTAATACCACTGAACTGTATGCTTAAAAATGGTTAAGATGCTAACTTTTGTTGGGTCTATTTTACTGTTACTTTTAAAATTAAAAATACCTTTCCATGTCATAATGTAATCTTCTATCAAATGAGTTTTAATGGCTGAAAATATTTCATGGCCCAGGCGTACCCTAGCTTATTCACCCACTACCTAATAGGTTGTTTCCAGGTCATCTCTATTTTAGGTGGTGCTGCTCCTCACACTCTGGTAGCTAACTGTTTGTAAACCTCTGAGATGATTTATCCTCAGGACTAGTCTCTAGAAACAGAAAATCCAGGCCAAGAATGTGCACATTTTTGAGGCTCTTGATGCCACTGCCAAATGGCTTCCTTAAAGAGCCAATGTGCTCTCCCTTGTGGGGCTGGGGGCCGTCTTCCCCGCCCCCCTCCCCAGCCCGGAATTCTTTTTCTGATGGTAGCATCAGGGACAGGCTGTAGGACAGTATGATGGTGTCCTGCAGAGAACATGAAGCCTGGAGGCAGACTGAGTTTGGGGCCGTGCCCCATACTGCTAACTCTGTAGAGAGTCACCTCCCCGAGCCTTAGTTTCGTCCTCTGCAAAGGGAAAAACGAACAGCACCTACCCTGGTAAGCCATGAATGCTAAACCGGGAAATACACAAAGCATTTTTAAGGGTACATTTGGGGGCAGAGGAAGCAAAATGTATAGACTCCATCGTGGGAGGAAAATGAGTATGTGGTCTGACAAGGGCTACGAAGAAGGCTGGTGAGGCTGGGGCAGAGGGGACTGAGATGAGGTGGGAGAGGCTCTCTGGAACCAGACCCACCGGGCCTTGTAAGCACATGAGGAGGCTGGTCTTATCTTATGGACAAAGTGGGAGCCATTGAAGGCTTTCAAGACACAAGGCTATAGGGGGAGAGTGACATGATCAGATTTGGAATTCACGTTGATCACACTGGCTGGTGGGAGAGAAAACTGTAGGAGAGCAAGAGAGGAAGCAGGGAGACTAGCTGGGAGGCTACTGCAGCAGTCCAGGCAAAAGATGACCATAGCTAGAGTCACAGAGACGCAGACAAAGTGAAGAGATCCAGAGACAGTTTGGAGCTTAAAACAAACAAACAAACAAAAAAAACCCCCCACAACCCATGCTTTAGGTGATAAAGGGTTGGAGGGAAAGGAGGTGTCAGGAATGACAATGACAAGGCTTCTGGCCTGACGCAGGATGGAGGACAGTGCCCCCTCAGAATCTAAGAACAGGGCCCGGCCTGGGAGATCGTGGGTTTGACATCTGAGATTCCAAAAGATGCCAAGTGGGCAGGTGGATGTACTGGGTTATTCAAGGAGATATGACATACGAACAGCCCTAAGACAAGGCAGGAGGCACTAAACGCTTTGGAAGAAGTAGATGTAAAGGGCTGGGTGTCCAGAAGCCGGGGAGCTCACTTCTAGCTAGAGTGAGAGCAGTCAAGGAAGGCTGCCTGGGGAAGGTGCTAACAAGGAGAGGCTGGATTTCAGCATTCAGAGTGAGAGATGGGTATGCAAGGGGCAAGGCATGGGCATAGACAGAGGGGGATCTTGATCATTCAGGGTCTCAAACCTGGGACTCTCCAGCCCCTCTGCTCCCCGACTAAGGGGCAAGGACTCACGAGAAGCTGCTTTTTCTGTGCGTGCTCCTCCATCTTCTGCTTCATGCTCTCCTTCCGCTGCTGCCTGGGGAGCTTCTCCACCTCGTTCTTCACCTGCACCAGAAACAGCGGAGAGTGGCAGGGTCAGGCTCCCTCCTCACATTTCCTAGAGAAGAAGTCTTCACCCCTGAACTCCTGGGTCAGGGAGACCAAAGACAGGGTTCAGCTTTCTAGACACTGGCCCCCAACCCCTCTCTCCACCACGCCCCTCAGACAAGTGGTCCCCACTGGCCTACTGCTGTCTGCTGCTGGCTCCGGTTTTGGACTCGCCCGGAGCGAAGAGGTGCTGCTTTTGCTGCTTGCTAGCCAGCCCCCTTCTGATGGTGGCACCTCCGTTTCCCTTGGGCAGCCTTTCTCAACCTTCAGACATTTTCTTCCTAATCACCCGCCCCCAGGAAATAGTAATCCCACAGATAAACTATCAATCTGTTAAACCATTATAATAATCGAAGCTATTTTTTAACCCCTCAGGGGTGCTAGCTCCCTGGTTAAGAAGACACACTTCAGGCACCGTCTCCTCAGCTCCTGAGGTTCAGGTGGGGCTGACAGCACCCGCCCCCTCCATCTGGCTCGAGGCCGGGCACATGACGCAGGCTGTCAGTCGCCATATTCCACGCCCCAGCTTCAGGGACTGGTTCAGAGACGAGCATATGACCCTCGCTGGGCCAGTGAGAGCTTTAGGATGTGTGCCGGAACTATTGAGGAAAGCTGCTCTCTCTCCTCTGGGGTTGCTAAACTGGGAGGATGGAGGCCCCGGTGGGCCACCCTGGAGGGGCCTGCCTGAGACAGAACTCAGTGCCAGGAGGCAATGCCAAAACCTGAAAAGGAAGGATTCCTGGTGACACTTCTGCCCTCCTGGTCAGAGGCCAGCAAGCGTGCTCAAGCCAGCTGGAAATAGCTTCTGTCTTTTATAACAGAAGAGGGAGAAGAGATTCATGACATTTCTCTCTAAGGCACCCAGAACTCCTGAGACAGTTCTGAGGAACCCACACCTTTCCAGGTGTCTGACACCCCAAACTCACTGGCAGAGGGCTCTTAGGAGCAGCTGGTGGAAAAATACTGTCCATGATCAAAAGAACATTCCAGGGGAGTTCTTCCGGCACGGTGAGTGTAAGCCAGAGCAGCCTCTCTCTCCTACTGACTACAATGAAAAACCCTGGTAAAATACAAAAAAGAACCACCCCAGGGCTCTGAAAAGTAAACAAAAACAGGTGACCATGAGAGGAGCCAAAACTTACAGAAGAGGTTAGGACAGTTTCCTAATTTTTTTTCCTTTTGTGCTCCTGGCTTTGCACCAGTCCCAGACCTGCACAGTGGTGCAGCGAGAACGCTAACTAAAACTCTGTAAGAAACCTCATGTTCTGGGCTTGTGCGGGTCAAAGAGTGTATGGGAAGAATCCCAGAGAGAGGGCAGCAGGAGGAGGGAAACCCTAATTCTGTGCATGAGCCCGCGCACATCTCAAGTTCACCCGAGCTGAGCGCGACAAGACAGACCCAAAGCAGTATAGCAGGGGCTTTGAAAACCACACTATGACTGGAGCTTCCACCCACAGCAGACAAGACAGAACCTGTGGTCTGAGACTACCAGGATCAGACTGCCTGCTAAAATAAAAAAGTCAACATTCTCTAGACTATGACAGGACCCAGAGTCTACAGACGGTAACATTCAAAATGGCAATGATAAATCCAAACTTAACATACAAAGAATCGGGAACTAGGACCGATTTTCAAAAAAAAAAAAAAAACCGTCACATGCCAATTCCAGGATGACCCAGACATTGGAATTACCAGACAAAAACTTTAAAGTGGCTATTATAACTGTACTCCATCAGGTGAAGGTAAACATACTTGAGGTTAATGGAAACAGAGAAATACAAACCTTAAAAAAGAGACAAGGGGCGCCTGGGGTGGCTCAGTTGGTTAAGCATCTGACTCTTGGTTTCAGCTCAGGTCATGATCTTGGGGTCGTGGGATCGAGCCCCGCATCAGGCTCTGTGCTCAGTGCGTAGTCAGCTTCTCCCTCTCCCTCTGCCCCTCTCCCACACGCATGCACATGTGCTCTCTCAAATAAATAAATAAAATCTTTTAAAAAGAGACACGCAAGAGAAAGGGGAACCCTCCTACACTGTTGGTGGGAATGCAAGCTGGTGCAGCCACTCTGGAAAACTGTATGGAGGTTCCTCAAAAAGTTGAAAATAGAGCTACCATATGATCCAGCAATTGCACTACTGGGTATTTACCCCAAAGATACAAAAGTAGGGATCTGAAGGGGTACGTGCACTCCGATGTTTATAGCAGCAATGTCCACAATAGCCAAACTGTGGAAAGAGCCAAGATGTCCATCGACAGATGAATGGATAAAGAAGATGTGGTATATATATATATATATATATATATATATATATATATATATATATACAATGGAATATTATGCAGCCATCAAAAGGAATGAGATCTTGCCATTTGCAACGACGTGGATGGAACTGGAGGGTATTATGTTGAGTGAAATAAGTCAAACAGAGAAAGACATGTATCATATGATCTCACTGATATGAGGAATTCTTAATTGCAGGAAACAAACTGAGGGTTGCTGGAGTGGGGGTGGGGTGGGAGGGATGGGGTGACTGGGTGATAGACACTGGGGAGGGTATGTGCTCTGGTAAGCGCTGTGAATTGTGCAAGACTGTTGAATCTCAGATCTGTATCTCTGAAACAAATAATGCAATATATGTTAAGAAAAAAAAAAGAAGAAGGTAGCGGGAGGGGAAGAATGAAGCGGGGGAAATCGGAGGGGGAGACGAACCATGAGAGACGATGGACTCTGAAAAACAAACTGAGGGTTCTAGAGGGGAGGGGGGTGGGAGGATGGGTTAGCCTGGTGTGGGTATTGAGGAGGGCACATTCTGCATGGAGCACTGGGTGTTATGCACAAACAATGAATCATGGAACACTTCATCTAAAACTAATGATGTAATGTATGGGGATTGACATAAGAATAAAAAAAAAAAAAGACACGCAAAAAAACTTAGGACTAAACAATACAGCATCTGACACTAAACACAGAAAGCACTGGACAGAGCCAGGGTAAGGGAATGGAGGTGACAGAGGGGCCAGGGAATTTGAAGAGCGAGTAATAAAAATTATATAACATGAACGGAGAGAAAGGATTACAAAGACTAAAGTGTTAGAGACTTACAGGAAAATACCAAAGGTGTAATATTCGTGTTTTGGGGAGTGCCAGAAGGAAAGGAGAAAGAGATGGGTATAGAAAATGCACACCTATAATGGCCAAAACCTTCTGGCTTCCGTGGCAGTGAACAGCATCTTGAGAGTGGGGTTCCTCTCTCTTTTGCTCAGTACCCCCAGCACCTAGCACAGTGCCATCATATGGATAGTCAATAAAAGAGGTGCTGAGTAGCTCTCATTTTGATAGGAGGTAAGTGGGACTCAGGAAAGTTGCTGTCTAAAGCTCAACATAGTTAGTGGTCCAGAGCCAAGACTCAGAACCAGGCCTGACTCCCAAGCCTGTGCCCTCTGCCCTGGAGCTGGGGGTGTGCTTAGTATCAGCACCGTACCCCAGCCCACTGGCCTGGCTCTCAGCAGGAGGGCCAAGTAAGGCCAGTGAGGCACTCATCTCAGGTATAAAAGGGAATACCATAAACTTCAGTAATCAAGATAAATTGCATTTAAAAATTTCAGAATTCATGCCCAAAATCATGACTATCAAATTTTTTTTTAAGATTTTATTTATTTGACAGAGAGCAAGAGAGAGAGCACAAGCAGGGGGAACAGCAGGAGAAGGGAGAGGGAGAAGCAGACTCCCCGCTGAGCAGGGAGCCCGATGCGGGGCTCGACCTAGGACCCTGGGATCATGACCTGAGCTGAAGGCAGACGCTTAACCAACTGAGCCACCCAGGCGCCCCATGAATATCAAAATTTTAAATACAGACAGGATCCAGCCCTATATTTGCAGGACTCAAACTCATCACCTCACCCTAATCTTGGCCCTGTTGGATGCTGACTTTTAAGTAACTGACATTCTGTTCATCATGAATATTTTGCAGTAATTTTTATTTTAAAACACTACACTAGGATATTATTTATCTTGATGAGATCAAGGTTTTTGGCGCCCCCTTCAGTTTTGTGCCCACATGTCTCACCCCAGCCCTGCCCCTGCAGCTGCCTGAGGCCCCCTGGATACAACAAACGTCACACCCACACACCGCAGTCTGGGAGCTGGGCTCTGAGGCCGGCAGCACCACAGACCACCCTTAGAGGCTGTTCTGCAGACTGGGGATGGCCAGCAAGTGTGACCCAGCCTGCCGGTGACAGGCTCCACAGAGGGACGTGTGCACTGTTCTTTGGGACCCAGATGCCCTTCCCCAAGGCAGGCTGGGAAATCTGCCCCTCTCCCTTTGTCTCAGGACCATCTACCTCTTTGCCACCTCCCCCTTCCTCTTCCAGCTGGGAGAGGAAAGAGAAGAAGAGCCACGTGGGTCCCAACTAGGGGACTGCTGTTTGGGCAGAAGGAGGGCAGGGCACAGAAGACATACTGCGTTTGCCACCCAGCACCCGCTCCCCCTTCTGGTCAAAGCATCTCAGATCCCTCTGGGCTGCCATCCCTTCCTTCTCCCCTGCTCTCTTTCAGCTGGGATTGCTAGGCTGGGAGGATGTCCAGGAAGCTGCCTGGGAGTCAAGTCAACACAAGACAGCAGAGCCCAGATGATGGAGAAGTGGCTCCTCACGGTGCAGCTGGAGCACATAAACCCAGACACACGGACGTGAGCTCCTCAGGTATATGAGCTCCCCAAATTCCCTGTTTGCTGAAGTGGGGCTCGGCTGGGGTTTTGATCACTTGCAACCTAGACGCCCCAGCCTCCGCCCAACACATATTCACCTCCTTCTTCATCAGTTTGAGCTGCTCCTGGAACCGGGTGTAGTCCCGATCCTGCTCCAGCCGGATCCGCCTGGCCTCCTCCCGGCGGCGCACGGCATGGTCCTGCTCCATCCTCTCCACTTGCTGTTTCTGCTGACGCTCCAAGTTCTCCAGCTCCGTGTCAAAGAACTTCTTCTTGGCCTGGAAGGAGCAGAAGGAGAAATTCAGCAAAGTCACTCTATACTTGGGAGGAAGATGGGAAGCAAGATGGAGAGAGCCCAGAGCTTATCTTCAGACCTGGGCTTGAATCCCAGCTCAACCACCTCTTTGCCCTGTGACCTGGAACAAGTCACCTAACCTTGGTGAGTCTCTGTCTCCTCATGTGCAAAAGGCAGACCGGACTGTCTACCTTGCATGGTACTCAACAAAGGTCAGTGTCCCTCTGGACACCCTCCCAAACGACTCAGAAAAGCACTGGGGCTTTCATGAGATTCTGGGTTTACAAAGCCAATGCCTCAGGAGATCAGGAAAACACAGGAATTGGGCTCTCTACTGCCCTTAAAGAAAACACGGGGCAAGAAGCCCTCCGGGGACCCATCCTTTCTCACACTCACATTGATTTCTTGTTCAAAACGTTTATGCATCTGCTCCAGCTGCAGCTCATGCTTGCTGCTCAGCTGGGTCTGGTTCCGGTGTTCTTCTTTCTGGAGGAGCCGAAGCTCTCGGAGCTCCTGGCGCCTGAAGGGTGAAAGAATGTGCATCTCAGCAATCACGTAACTCTGGCTAGATACACTGGAGGCTGGCACGTGGAACGGGGCAGAGGCACGACTAGAACTCAGGCTGAACTTATTTATTGACAGGCAAAACATTAATGATCAACGTATAAAGAGTACTTGCGAATCAATTAGAAAAACAGGAGGAGCCTACTTTTAAAAAGGAACACAAAACACGAAGAGACATGAAAGAAAAAACAAATTTTAAAACTACCTAATATGGATATGAGGTGCAAATTAAAAATTCCATTTTCATTAAAAAGGCAAGAGTATTGGGGCAATTGATACTTTTCATAACCTGATGGTATGGACTGGTACGTTCTGGAGGACAACTGGTAATAAGTTCATGCCTTCTGACACAGTATTTCCACTTCTAGATATTGATTCTATGGAAATATTCATAGATGCACAACATAACTGAATAAGAATATCCATAACAAATTTATAATAGTCCAAAACTAAAAATGACTTAAATGTTTATCATATAGGTCTAATTAAATAAAATGTATCCACCTGATATTAATTTTGTGTACACAACCATGAAAAAAATCAAGTTTTAAAAAATATTTAATTACATGGAAAAATATCTGTTAAAAATGGGACAATTTTTTTTTTTAAATGTAACAATTCTACATGAACAGATTTGGAATGATCTCTAAGTGAAAAAAGCAAGGTGTTGACAAGTGGGTCTATTATTGTTACCCTACCTTATGGGAGAAAAATAAAAAAAATTTATATGTCTGTGTGTTCACTTTCCTATTTAAACACTGTACTTCAAGAAGGATTACATATAAAATATTAACACAGAAAGGGGAACCAAAGGAAAGGGAGGGAGGGAGATTTTTCACTATTTGCCCTCTTCTTTTTTTTGGTTTTGTTTTCGTTTCTTTGAATTTCGAACCATGACATTGTATTAACTATTCAAAATATCAATAAAAACTTGACCTAAACCACAGAGTACACCTTAATTTTGTAACACATATATTGTTGATGTGTGTGTATATGTGTTTATGTGTTTACACACACACACACACACACACACAAATAACTGCAGGATAAACTCCAAAGTGTTAACTGTGTTTCTTTCTGCGCAAATCCACTGAAGATTGATACAGATCGTTTATGTCATCAGAAAAGAAAATGATGCAGAAAGAATGTGGGCTTCCTGACTATGAATCAGGCCTCCCTGGCAGGCTCTCAGGATTTGGGTCCATGAGGCCTGTGTCCTGTTCTCGGCCAGAGTTCATCCGCCCCCCAACTAGAGGCCAGCACGCTCCTGGGGGTCAGAGGAACCTTGTTTGAATCTTAGCTCTGCTGACTTCTGGCTGGGTGCACTCAGGCAGTCACTCGATCTCTAGGCCCCTCTTCCTGCATCTGTAAACTGCACAGATCATGTCTACCGCTCAGGTTCTTTGAGGGCTAAATGCGGGGATGCCTGTTGTACCCCCCTGGCATGCGCAGACAAGTGGTAAAACTCGCTAACTTTGTTACTAAGTGGTAGCTGCTGGAGTGATCATAACAAGAGGCAAAGGCTTCTAGGTCTCTGGAAAACCAGACACTCTTCACAGCCATATAAAGAAGCTTCCATCTGAGCCTCTGCTCTTTGGGCATTAAGAGGGCTGAGTGTGTTAACGAAGACACAGAAATCCTGACTCCAAAGAAACTAAGGCTCAGAGAACACCTGACCAAAAAACAAAGGAATACAAAAGAAGGTGGGCGGCCAGGTGCGAACACTAACTCCCTGCCCCACCTGGGTTCTCACGAGGGAAGGCAGGCCGAGAGACAGGCTGACGTCTTATAGAAGGAAGGCACTGGCCCCAGCAATTTTAGGGAAAAGGAGAAAGAACTCTGACCTAGAAGCCTCAGTCTGGGAGAGTGAGTATCTGGTCACACAGTTCAAAGCCTGTGTGTGACCCAATTCTCTGGAAATCCTAGCATCCATGAAGGCCGGGGGGTGGACTGGGGGTGCGGTGGGGGGCGACAGCCAGCCAGGGAACAATGAGAGCCTTCCACACCCCTGCACAGCCTGGCAGCCTAGCCGGGTACACAGGACACTCGGCCCTCCGGACTGGGAGAGAGGCCCTCGACCTCTGCGAAGACTCACCTTTCAAACCTGAGCAATACACAGCTCCTCTGCTTAGCAAAAGGGTGGGGGCCTAGGGCCAGGGCCAGAGGGCATCGATTCTAGACGGGGTATGGTGGATCTACAGTTTCAACCCAGGAACCCGAACTGCCCAGAGAGGAGATGATGATGGAAAGGAAACTCAGCCCTTGAGGTCTGAAGCTTAGGAGAACAGGTCGCCTCCCAGGCGACCAGGAAAATGGAAGGTGGTGTCATCCTCCAAGAGCAACCATCCTCCCACCCTCTGTCATGAGCCTCCCCAGCCCCCATGACCAGGATGCGTGTGTGTGTGTGTGTGTGTACACGTGTACGTGCATTCATGCAGAAATGCAGAAACACCACTGATGAAAAGTCAGCCTCTCATCTTTGTGGTCCCTAGACGGAGAAAGTGCCCCAGAGCATCCAAAACTGCTTCAGTTTGGCTTTGGAATGCTTGTGCTTTTTAAAAAGATAAACGTGTTCAATGTTCTAGAAATATTCTCCAACTAATAATGAATTTATCCTGCAAAGGTTTGGCTCCAAGGCCTCCCTGACTGCTAAGCCCCCCACCCCTGGCAGCCCCAGGAAGCTTCCGGTCCAGTGGAAGCCTGGTAGAACCCTCACACAGATAGGTCTAGTTAGAATCGCAGCTCTAGCTTCTCACCTGGGTGGCCCAAGGCAAATAACTTATCTGCCAAGAAACACTGTTTCCTCATTTACAAAATGGGGGAAATAGCGTCTCCCCAAGGAGGGCTGTTAGGGGGCCTGAGCACCTCCAAAGTGCAGAGATGGCTCCCAGCAGACAGCTTTGCCTCACACTCTCCTCCCCTCACCAGTCTCACTGGTTTTGCCTCCAAGATGTATGTTGAACTGACCCCTTCTTCCCTCCTCCTGGCCACTGCCCCAGCCCAAGCCTGCAGCCCGACTGTGCTGGACAGGGTCTCCCTGTCACCCTGTGCAGCGTTGCCCTCTGTAGCCCTCTGTAGCCCACACTCCTGCAGCTTCCAGAGCCATCTTTCCGAAGGGAAACGAAAGCCAGTCACTCTCCAGCTATCTTACTCTGGCTGCCCCTGGGATAAAATCCACACTCCACCCTGGCCCACAGGCCTACGTGACCTCTGCCCTCACGCTGCACACTCCAGCCCTATCCTTTCAGCTTCCTAAACAAGCCCAGCAGTCACTCCTCGGGCCTTAGCTTTGCAGCTCCCTCTGTGCTCCCCCAGCCACTCCACTGGGGGTCTCCTACACACACAGCAGCCTCCCCCCAACCCAGGGGCTCACTATCATATCACCCATTACTTCCTTCACAGCGTGTACTACAATTGGGGATGGCTTTTTATCACATGTTGGCCCATCAGGTCTAAGTTCTACAACAGCAACAGCCTCAACTATCTGAATCGCTACCATGTCCCCCAACCTGGTAGATGGGCAAGTACATGGGTAGATGGATTGATGGATGGGTGGGTGAGTGAGTAGATGAATGGATGAGTAGAGGGATGGGTAGGTGGCTGAGTGGATGGGTGAATGAGTGGATGGATGGGTGGGTGAATAGTGGGTGGATGGGTGAGTGGGTGCATGGGTGGGTGGGTGGGTGGGTAGATGAGTGGATGGATGGGTGGGTGAGTGTGTGGGTGGGTGGGTGGGTGGGTGGGTAGGTGAGAGGATGGATGGATGGATGGGTGAATGTGAATTGATGGGTAGATGAGAGAGTGGGTGGGTGGTGGGTGAGAGGATGGATGACGGGTAGATGAGTGGGTGGATGGATATGTGGGTAGATGGATGGAGGAGTGGATGGATGGATGGTGGGTAGATGAGTGGGTGGACAGATAGGTAAATGGATGGGCAGGTGGATGAGTAAATAGATAGGTGGATGGGTAGATGAATGGACGGGTGCTCTGGGGAGTGCAGGAACAAAACCAGTTGCCTTTTGTGTCCTTAATCCCTCACTTCATGCTGTAGACACACAGAGAGTTCTGTAACCAAAGGAACCTACAACCCTCCCTCTCACCACATCCCCACCCTGTTACCACCGTCAGCAGCCAATCCCAGGCTTGCCTGAGAAATCGCATCTCCTCATCCTTCTTCTCATCCTCGCTGATGATCTTGGAGGTGGTGATGCTCACCTCCACACCATCCACCACAAACTTGCGTGTCCTCTTGAGGGTTTTATTGTGCAGCCTTGAGTCCTGGCGGGGTAAAATCATTAGGCAAAGCTCAGGATTTCAGCTAAGAATCTGTGGGTGACACAGGGGTGTGGCCCACAGCCTTCTTGGCCCCACAGCCTCAACATCCAGGTAGGACATAGCTGTCCATCATCCCCCTCTTGCCTCAAGCTTCCCATCTTGGAGTCCTGAGTGTCTGAGCTTATCCCCTCTACTCCAGCCCTGATCTTGGCCTTCAAACACTGCCCCTTCCCGGCCCCACACCTGGCTGCCAGCACTCTCATACACAGGACGTGGCACCAGAAAGAACCGGGTTCTAATCCTCCCTCTACCACATACTGGCTCTGTGACCCTGAGCAAGTCCCTTGTCCTGTCCAAGCCTCAGCTTCCTAAACTCATCAGAGGAAGAGCACAGCAGTGCTCACCTCCCAGGGTGCTTACAAAGACACAGCGAGAGAGTGCGTGGGGGACACAGCACAGAGCCCAGCTCATGGCGACTGTTCAGTACTTGGTATTTATATCTGACAGTTAGGACTGCGGACCACAATCTCCTACCACAATGCCAAATCCAAAGCGCTCGGAAAACTGAAGTTCGTAACTGATTTGGAAGTCAAACCCAAGCTGCCCTGAACTCCACGGGAGGCCACACCCGTCTGGAGCAGCTCCCATGAAATTATTCATAATCTTTATCTTTTCCTGGGAGTAATCATGCATTTCAGACACAACTGCTCAGAGTGCTGCCAAGACTCCTCGGGGGGTTTGAATACCCTCTGAAAATTGCTCCCGACTCAGCTGAGAGCCTGTGCGCCTGCCCTGGAGTCATCACGGCATCTCCCCGCTCTGACCTCAGTGGGCTTCCGAGGCCCTTGATGGCGTAGCCCAGCCCTGCGGTCCGGACTCTGCCCCGAGGGCCTTCCAGCCAGAAAAAAAGAGGGCAGGCCAGGGCTGCATACCGCAGTAAGTCTCCATCCCCTCAAAGTGGGCTCTGAAGCCCCGCTCCTGCTCAGCCAGGACCAGTGGCCAGCACTCACTCCCTGAGGGCTCGCCCCCCCCAGGCTTCCAGGGGCTCCGGACACCATGGGCACTGAGCAGCCCAACCCGACTCTCATCCTCCTCCAGTGCTCAGCCGGCACGTGCTAGGGCTCAACTCCAGACTACCGGTGAGAGATGAGGAGTGGCGGGGAGGAAAGGGGCCAGGGGGCTACAGCCCCACCACTAGGACTACTCGGGGTCACGGGGCCTCCTGCCCTCCCCCACCCCCACCCCCCAAGGTAACAGGCTCCTCAGCTCGCTGCAGGTGCTGACACAGCCCATGGACTCTTAGAACAGCCGTGTTCCCGGACTCACTGCCAGTCAGCCAGCAAAGGAATGTTCTCAACACCCGTAAGAGGCAGGGGAGACCCTGCTCTGCTCTTTATTTTTTATAATTACCTTTTTTTTTTTTCTTTTGGCTTAGTGTCTTTTTAAGTGGAGAAGGGACAGGCTATCTGTCTTAAGGCAGCTGATGGGCCCTGATGCTGCTTGTACATTAGAACCACTGTCTGTGCTTGTCCGGTGACATGTGCTTTCCTTCTCTTCCTGAAGCTAATTCTTGGGCTGGCTGGCTGCTTTTCCTTCTTTCACTTCCCTTAGTTTAGCAAATATTTTTGAGTCTCTACTGTGTGGTTTCCAGCAAGTAAACAACAGGAGAAAAAAACAAAACAATACAGTATCTTCCCTAAAATCAGCCTCGGCTGGGGATGAGCCTCAGTGTGGCCTGGTCAAGTGGCCAAGAGTGAGTTCAAGAACATCCTGACATTTATCAGTGTGGGCAGGGGGGCGTCAGCCCTTCCTGAGGGGGCAGCCAGGCTTCCACTGGGAGAGCAGAATGGCACGTGGGGTTCAGAGCACCAAGTCTGTGGGGCTGCCCAGCTCTCCACTCCCCACCTAAGCCTCCGTTTGCTCATCTGTACACGGAGATGATGAAGGAGCCTCCATTTTCTTTAAAGCACTTCTCAGTGTTGGCCTCCATGCTGAGCCCTCAAGCTCAGTGGCTACGGTCGTTCACGTCAGCCACCTCCAGAAAGGCCACTGAGCCCCAAGAGCGCCTTGAGCCCACTCCCTGTAACTGAATCGACCAGTCAGCAGCTGGACCACATGGCTGACCCGCAAACAAGAGAACTTCACTCCTAGACCCCTCTCTCCCGAACTTCACCAAACCCAATTTAAATGGACACACAAATTGAAATTTAAACCTGAGCCAACTGCCCGGCGTGACTAAATCCCAGACTGAACTCAGATATTCTGGAGATTACACTATGAATTGAGCTCAAGGCTCTTTAAAGAAGAGCAATCCTCATGAACCACTTAAAAGGGAAGGCGGCCACTAACGGCTTCCAAAACCAAAACTGGGCAGCACGTCCTACACACTCCGGCTCCTAACCCGTGGTAGAACTGGTGGCATTACCTTGATGGACAGAGAGCCTGTTTCTCTGTTCAGGGACAGGTCGGCTGAGAGGGAGGTGTTGTAGTCCATGCTCTCGGAGGCGGCGAGGCTGCCACAGTCTGAGTCCCTCTTGGACGGGCCCGGGGCTGCCTGGGCAGGGAGCTCCAGGCTGCCGTTGGCCAACTTCTCGGCACCCAAGGTCTCCAGGGCACTGCTGTTGGGACGGCTCTGGCTTGCTTTTTGGGACCTGCTGGCTGCTGGACTGAGGTCCCCGCCGTGGTCAGCGACTTGCTTCTCCTCAGACACCTGAATTCTGGCATCCATGGACACTGGCCGGGACTTCCGGAAGGGTGCTGGCACTGCCAGGCCAGTCTCATTTCCAGGAGCCACATCTGGGGGGTTGGTGGTTTGGAGGGATCTGTCCCCAGAGGGCTGGCTCGGCCCATTCACACTGTCCTGAGGCTGGCTGGGTGGCACTGGGGTGAAGGATGATTCTTTGAGAAGCTTGTCGGTATTGAGACTCAGTTGACTCACCTCAGAAGAGTCTCGAGTATGGTTCCCCAGAGGCTAGGAAGGAAAAAGAATCAAGACCATGCTATTTTATGTCTAGGACAGGAGTCAGGGATGCAGTAGGGCCGGAAAGTCAGACACTCACAAGGTGAAGTAGGCCAGGGTCAAGGACATACCACAGTCATCCCTCTCCAGTGAGCCACAGTCCTCACGACTCCCTACTGTCTAAGCTACAGTAGAATTACTACTTGTTTCGAGTTCATTGAATACCTGTTCTTCCTCCTACGAGCGGAGGCAACTGTGGCCAGCTGGACAGCTCATCCCCTGTCTAAGGGTGGCAGTGGCCACTCTGCTCCAGCTAATTGTGACAATGGAGACAGACCTTCCAATCTTTTAAGACAAGGCCAGAATCTGGATTTTTACCTGACACCGCCTGATTTTTAGATGGCAACTAATTCAAGTTTTTGGTTTTGTTTTTTTTAGTTGCATAAAAACCAAACCAAAACTATCCAGAAGCTAGATTCAGTCTATCATCCACTACGTTTTTAAAGTTTTGTTTTGTTTCTTAGAGCTTTGGGGGCTGGTAAGTACTGGAAACATTGCTACTATGAAACACCCATTTCAGTGGATAAAATATAAACATCCAGGGAATGAATAAAGTGAGCACCCCCAGAGCCACCTTCCATGTCAGGAGTGGAACACTGCCCACCTCAGAGACCCCCCCCCCCCACCTATGTCTGTCTCTCCCCTTGACATAATAGTTGTCCTGAAATTGATCTCTAAGTGTTACAGGTTAGTTTGCTTGTTTTCAAATATGGTATTAATGGAATCACACCATAGCGTTCCCTTGGGTCCTAATGGCCGCTGGCTTTAACCCTGGATATGGAAGCTTCCAGAAGGAACTCTAATCCACCTCCTTATTCAACAACCCTAAAATGAGAGTTCAGGAATTCAGATCTGATCCTATCATCCCCACACCAATGCCCAGCCCTTGCCTGAAACCCTCAGCCCCCACCACCCTCACAAGGGTCAGCCTCCTGCCTGTGGAAAACCAGGCCGGTGTGACTGTTTTCTGCCTCCCTCCCCAACCTTGCTGTCCGCGGTGTCCTCCTGGAGACAGGCCCCAGACACACCACCTCCCTCTCCCACCATGGTTTTCCTACACCTGGCCCTGCCGCCTAACACCACAACTGGCCACGTCATTCCTCGACCTCACTTTGCCCATCTCTGAAATGGAGCCCTGGTTCTCCCGTCAGAGTTGCGGAGTGCCCAGCCCCCAGCAAGGGCTCCGTAAAAGGCTAGGGCTGCAGGGCTGATTCTGCTCCTCCTCCTCGGTGCTTCCCTTCCTCATCCTGGTAAGGATTCAGGCCAGCCTGTGGCTTCTCCCAGGATGCCATCAAACTCGAGACAGCACTACACTGCCCATTCCCTGACAGACGAGTCCAGCCCCTGCCTCACTCGCTCCACGGCACCATCTGGACAGCAAGTTTCCCTCCTGGAAGAGGCCGTTCCCAAGTGGCGTCGACCAGGGATCTGAAAGCAACAGCTCAGGACAGAATCCAGCCCACAGACACGTTTTGCTTGGCTCACAGGTTTTTAAAAATTTAAATTAGCTTTAATTTAAATTTAAATTCAGCCAAGTGCTGAAGCTGCTGATGGGTTACAAATGTGCCAAGACATGGGTCCCCTGGGCACTCGGGGCAACCAGACAGGGTCTGGGGTGCCCGGAGCCCCTCGGCCTCTTGCCTTCGGTCACGTGTAGCCTTTACCTGCATTTATCCCACAGGGTGCTAAAAACATTTTGCATGTGAGCCACAAGAGGAAAAAGGCAGGGAAGCAATGAGTCAGCTACCAACTTTTAAAAACTGGAAGACCCCATGTGAAAATCTAGATTACTGCTCTTTCCTGAAAGCGTACAGAATCTGGCCAGCACATCCCCGCTGCCTCACCCTGGCCCATGTGCTGACATACGTAACCTGTGGCGTGGGGGGGCTATAATCCCTGAGCTGGGGAGAAACAGGAATCCTCCCTGCACCCCCCAGGTCCCCTCTTATACCAGCCAAGGCCTGCCGGGATCCCGTCCCTCCCCAGCACCCCAGCCCTTTCCAGGCCTTACAGAGGTGGCATCCGTGGACTCTTCCTCTTCCCCCTCCTCCCGGCCATCCTCGATCTCCTCCATCACTTCGGCCTTGGCCTCGGCCACCAGCTCCCGCAGGGCCTTGTTGCTGGTGATGCTGCTGACAAAGGGATGCTGAGGGGGCAAGACACACCTGGATTAGAACCACTTTGGGCAGGAGGGTGCAGGAGGCACAAGCGAAGTTTTGGGGGAGGCCATCTCCCAGGCAGAGAAGGCCAGCGGCATCCCTAAGTACAATGTGAATGTGTACTTGGTAAGGGAGAGCCAGAGGCGGCCCACAAAGTCCTGTGTGTGCTGGAAGAGGCCAAATCCTGGCTCTGCCCCCCACCAGCTGTGCAACACTGAGCGTGTCACTTTCCTTCCCTGAGCTGCAGGCTCATCTCCAAAGTGGGGACAATAATGCCAAACCTATAGGGAGGTCATAAGGATTAACCGAGATAATGCACAAGGAAGTGTTTAGCTCAAAGCAGGAGCTCAAGCGATGTTTGGGGGGTTGTTTGTACATGTGTTTGTTTTTAAAAGGTTTTATTTTTTTTATTTATTTATTTTTTTAATTTTATTTATTTGACAGAGACAGAGATAGCGAGAGCAGGAACACAAGCAACGGGAGTGGGAGAGGGAGAAGCAGGCTTCCCGCCGAGCAGGAAGCCCGACGCGGGGCTCGATCCCAGGACCCTGGGATCATGACCTGAGCCGCAGGCAGATGCTTAACGACTGAGCCACCCAGGCGCCCCTAAAAGGTTTTAATATATGGTTTTAAAATATCTACTACAGGGGCACCTGGGTGGCTTAGTCAGTTGAGTGTCCAACTCTTGATTCCGGCTCAGGTCATGGTCTTGGGGTCCTGAGATCGAGCCCCACGTCGGGCTCCACGCTCAGTGCAGAGTCTGCTTGTCCCTCTCCCTCCCCCTGCTTGCTCTCGCTCTCTCTCAAATAAATATAAGAAAAATCCTTGTTAAAAAAAAAAAATCTACTACATGTCCTTTATTGAAGTGTTACTTACACCCAGTAAAGTTCACAAATCACTAAGCTCAAGGACTTTTTTCCACTTATATATTAGGTATGACCATAGCCCACCTGCAGACACCAAAGGTTTCCATCTCCGTATCATCAACCCCACTCCCCCTAGTTGCCCAGCCCCAGAAACTAGTTTTGCCTGTTCCCTAAATTTCATGTGAACAGAATAAAAAATATGCAGTCCTCTGTGACTGCTGTTGTGGTTGAAATCATGAGATTCGCCTACCTCACTGCATATATTGGTAAACTGGTCCTTTTTCATTCCTGTGCAGTTATCTACTGTATGGAGAGGTCACAACCTGTTTATTCATTCTGCTGCTGATGGACATTTGTGTTGTTTCCTGTTTTGAGCGACTATGAATAAAGCTATGAATGTGTGCATATAGGTAGGTCTTTGGGAACACGCATGTTTGCAAATTCTTAAGGGAGTGTCGTGTAAGTTCTATTCCTAGGCATTTACAGAAAGGTCACATCTCTAAAATAATGAAGCCTCTTTCACACACCTTGCAAAACACCAAAGCTTTTAAGGCCTCAGCAGATGTTAAATCAGCGCGAGCACCTTCCCTGATAGAAGTCTGTTCTCGGGCATCTAATCCCCAGCCCTGGGGAGTGGACGAGGATGTGAGATTGCTCACCCAGGGCCGCTTGGAAAGAGATGTTGTGTGTGTGTATTAGGGGAGCAGAGGGGTCTCATTAAATTGGAGTTTGCTCATTTGAATTTAGAGGAAGGCTCCGATGAAATCTGCCTTCACTGTCAAAAGATTTATCAGCGGAGGAGCAGTGTCAACGAGATTGCAGGGAAGTATGTAAGTGACTAAGAATACATTTTCAACACCCTGTAAACACATACACCACTGATAGGTCCATTACAAATCATTTTTATGTGCTTGTTCATTTAGAACAGTTCATTTGTGGAAGGTCACGAGACAATACCCCTTCCACTCGAGCACCTAGTGGTCCTTTCTGACCTGAAAGGAATAAACCTCACTCCTTTTAAAGAGCCCTAAACCAGCCTGGCTGTCTCTAGTTAGTCCAAACTAGTAAAGATTTTAAGAATTTCATTTCTTGGGGCGCCTGGGTGGCTCAGTCGGTTAAGGTCTGCCTTCGGCTCAGGTCATGATCCCAGGGTCCTGGGATGGAGCCCCACATCAGGCTCTCTGCTCAGTGGGGAGCCCACTTCTCCCTCTGCCTGCCGCTCCCCCTGCTTGTGTTCCCTCTCTCACTATCTCTCTCTCTGTGTCAAATAAATAAAATCTTAAAAAGATTTTTTTTCCATTACTTTTCTTTCTCTCCCATGCCCCATTCATTCACTGATTCGGGCCACAGCCACATGTTGAGGCCAGTGATGTGCCAGGTGCTGAGAGAAGGCTGAATGACAGGATGGGCATGGTCCCTGCCCTTGGGGCTTGCAGCTGAGTGGGAAAGAATAGGTATGTAGCCAAACGACACACAAGATCATGACAGGTCGGGGCTCCTGGGTGGCTCAGTCAGTTAAGCATCTGCCCTCGGCTCAGGTCATGATCTCAGGGTCCTGGGATTGAGCCCCACGTCAGGCTCCCTGCTCAGGAGGGAGTCTGCTTCTTCCTTTCCCTCTGCCACTCCCCACCCCAACTTGTGTGCACTCTCCTGCTTTCTAAGAAATAAATAAAATCTTAAAAAAAAAAAAAGGTCATGTCAGATCAGGTAATGGGATAGCATGAGGCTGGAACCACATGGGCCTGGCCTGGGCAGCGGAGGCTACTTAGTCTATGGTCACAAGGGTCTCCCTGAGGAGGTGACATTCAAGCTGGCCAGGGAAAGATCCGGGCACAGAGAATTCCAGGCAGCGGAGCAGCGAGTACAAGGGCCCTGGGGCCAGACGGAGTTTGGCAGGCTGGAGGCACGGCTAGAAGGCCAGGGTGGCAGGGCTTGTGGAAGAGAGAGGAGGAAGGAGAGGGTGGTGCAGGCAGGGTCCCCGAGCTGCAGTGAGAAGCTGAGACTTTCTTCTCAGAAGCTGCCGGAGGGTGCAGCAGAGCAGTAGTACTATCTGTTTACTCTTTAAAGGTGTCAGTCTGGCTGCTGTGTGGTTCCAAAAGGTCTTGAGTGGGGGAGCTAATAGCGGCTTAATAATCACGGGAGGTAGGAGAGCGTCGTGGCGAGAGTACTGGCTTTAGATGAAATCTGTCTGGGATGAAATGCTGCTTCCACCACCACCCTGGGCAAGTCACTCAACCTCCCTAAGCCTCAGTTTGCTCATCCGTATACTGGGAATAATAGTATGGCTGTTGAAAGCACTAGAGTAAGTGCTCCAAGTATGGCAGCCGTCATCTACACCATCCCCATCACCATCATCACCTCCACCACCACCACCTTGGTCACCACTGTCACCATCACCACCAGCAGCACAGTTAGACCCCCAGCCATCCCTCCTCCCTCCTGCATCCCCACAGAGCACAGCTTTTTGGAACTGAGGGTGAGCATCAGATCCCGAAGGTTCTCCGAGCCTTGCACTGTCCAACCTCACACATGAATCTGAGCAAGAAGCCACGGGACATTTCACGGCAGTTGCTGAAGCAGATGCGGCAGAACTAAAGAATGCAGGCACACGTTTCTGGAAATACCAAGTTTTCATCAGGGCACGCTACACATTGACCAACCCAGTGGCTTTCCAGCATGGCTAGGAGTCTTGCTTTCTTGGGGCTGGACCATCTGCCCCATGGCCTCTCAGGAGCACCCCAGGGTCCTCAGGAAGGGGATGCCACGGGGAAGAAAGCCCTTTGCCAGAGGAGCAGGTGATCGGGGCAGATCCCCCAGATGCCAATCCCGGAATCCCCAGGCAGGCACGGCTAACAAGGCAGGCCTTCCAGTGGCTGATGAGGCCCAAAACACTGTTTTGTCAACTGCCTGGAACAGAAAGCACAGCCTTCCTCCCTCACTGCCTCAGCACCACTACCTCCAGGGATGTGTCCAAAGAAGAGAAGTCCCCAACCCCGAACCGCCAGGGCCCAGTGGAGAGCCAGAGCCCTGCTGCAAGGAGGCCCGGGGTCTCCCCAGGCAGGAAGTGCATGGTGTACCTGCGTGGGGACAGGCTGCTCGGGCACACGGGTCCCCAGAAATGTGCTCGCACACCCCTGCACAGGCCCAGGCAGAGGGGAACTCAGCCGCCTGCTCCTTCAGGAAGAGGCACAGCTGTTGGGTGTCATCTCTGCAGGAAGCCCCGCAAGGCCACACAACTCGCCAACTGGTACCTGCCCACTGGCCAGGACCCCTCCTGCCATCTACACAGACATCCTTTCCAAGACGGGAGCCTGGTTTTCCTCGATGTGCTTAGAAACCACCAGCCAGGGGGTCCTACACTCCGAGGCTGGCTTTAGAAAATGCCTGATGCCTGTCAAGGTTTCAGTTGTCAGCATCTGTCCAATTCCCCCTTCCCTCCCATCCAACTTCTCTTTCTATCTCATTCCTTCTTCCGCTCCTTCATTCATTCAGGGAGGAGGCGTACCAGAGTGGTCAAGAGAACAGGCTTTGGAATGAGACAACCAGGATCAGAATCCCAGCTTGGTCTCTTACAAGCTGTGTGACCTTGTGCGGGCTACCTAACCTCTCTGTTGCCTCAGTTTTATCACCTGTTTGATGGAAATGTGAATAGTACCTACTTCATACTTTGTTATAAGGATTAAAGTAGTTAACATTTGCTAAACATTTAAAAAAGTACCTGGCATGTAGAAAGCGTTACCCTACAGTTAAGTTAAAATATTAACGAATACTTGTTGAGGGCCCTCTACATACCAGACACTGTTCTGGATGCTTGGGACATATCAGTGAACAAAACAAAGACTGCTGTCCTCAGGGAGCTGACATGCTAGGGATTAACAATAAACTCAATGAACAAGTAAACTGTGGAAAAATCAAAAGTAGGGCAGGGAAAGGAGAACTAGGACTATGTTGGGAGTAGAAGTGGCAGGTTTCCAGTTTGAAATAGGGTGGTTGGTGGAGGCCTCACTGAGAAGAACAATGACTTAAAGAAGAGACTCGACCACGGAGGTGTCTGAGGAAAAACATTATAGGCAGCGTGAAGAGCTGTGCAAAGGCCCTGAGGCAGTTGTATGCCCAGACTGCTGGAACTACAGCAAGGAGGCCAGGGTGGCTGGAATCGAGTGAGGGAGTTGGGATGGGGTGGGCAGATCGTGTAGGACCCTACAGGTCACTGAGACTCTGGAGTTCGGCTTAAGTGAGAGGGGATCCATTAAGGGGCAGGAGGGACAGGAGCTGACATCCGTGTTAAGGTTTCCCTCTGGCTGCTGTGCTGAGAACAGACTGAAGGAGGACAGGGAGACCAGCGAGGGAGTAATAATCCAAGCGAAAGTCAGACCTATGGTTGCAACGGAAATGGTGCCAAGTGGTCAGATTCGGGGCATGTTCTGAAGGCAGGGACGACAGGATTTCCTGACAGAATGGACATGGAGCCCACAAGGCTCCAAGGATGGCACCAAGGATGCTTGCCAGGTCTGGGGCCTGATGGCAGGGCAGGTGGGTTGCCACTCCCTGAGACGGGACAGCCACCGGTCGAGCATATGTGGGGAAAGCAGAGGGCACTCAGGTGTGGACATCCACACCGGGGTGGCGAGTAAACAGCCGGACTTCGACACCTAGGACAGGTGGAGCAGCTCAGGCTGCAGGGAAAACGTGGCAGTCGCCGTAACCGGGTGGGACCCTCGAGGTGAGTGGAGATGGGGCGGGGGTGGGGGGAAGGCCCTGATGCGCTTCCACAGCGATCAGTCGCAGGAAAGAGCAGCAGGGGAAGGACGCTGTGGAGTGACCGGTGACAAGGAAAGACACCAGGAGGCCGTGGGGGCCCGGGAGCCAAGCGCTGGCCGTGGCAAGGATGAGGGTCAGCTGTGGCTGCCGTGGCCGGGTCCCACGGCACGAGCGCAGAGGCCGCAGCCAGCCACTGGGTCCGACAACGGGAGTCACGGATGACCCTGACAAGAACGGCTGCGACACGCTGTGGCAGGTTCATAACCAACTCGCCTCGTGTCCGCGGAGCACCTGAACTGACAGCCAGCGTGCTAAAAACAGCGCGTGCGGAATCTCGTTCCCTCGTACGACTGCATAAGGGAGCACTAACCGCGTCTCACAGGTGAGGACACTGAGGCACAGAGTGAGAACGACTCCTATTCCGGGTGGCCAAGCCTGACCTCAGAGCCCGGGTCAATAATCACTACGTGACACGGTCCCCAAGAATCTCTGTGCAGGTGAGGGGGTGAATCAGAAACCAGTGTCAACTCAAGGCATGAGGGGCCGGGAGGAAGCTCCCAGAACCAGGCAGAAACAGGGGGCATGAGCAGCTCTGCAGGGGGCACTGGGAAGCCGAGATCGGGAGGCCCCTACCTGTCACTCAAGGCCAGGTGACCTCGGGCAGGCCATGCTCCACCCTCCCCCACCCAGAAATAGGCACAAGGACAAAGCTGACAGCAGCCTAAGCCCCGAAGGTGTTTTCTTGATCTCAAGGGACCGCTCCTTTCTTCTGCAACCCTTTCTGTCTTATACTAAGAATCCCCTGGCAGGACATTGTTTCCAACTATGTAACAAAAATTCCTGGCTCAGGCTGAGGCTCCAGGGCTGCCATGTGGGAATGGAGGACAGCTGGTCTCTTCCTGGTGGAATGTCCTGGATGTCCTAGAGGCCGGATATAGCAGGCCAGGAGGTGCCTGCTCACAGGAAACAATTGGCCCCACGCGGCTTGGAGCTTCTGCATCTGACAGTGACGGCCCACCCCCACCTCTGGCTTCCCCACCAAACACGGCAAAACCCAGGAAATGAGGCCTCTGCTACTCCAGACGCATCTTCGGTATCTTCGCACTCAACCCTCACAAGGACCCAGTTAAGGGGGGGCATTGCCGTTATCCCGATTTCAGAGCAAGAACTGAGTCACAGAGAAGTTAAGCCAATCTCCCAGGGTCTCAGAGCCAGTAAGTAGCAGAGCTGGGATTCGAACCCGGGACTTTACAGTTCACACACTTCATCACTGTGTTGCACACGCCAGAGGGACGCACCGGAGCCTGGAATATCGACAGGGCCCTGTGCCTGGCACACAGCAGGTACTCGGGAAAAGCGGCTGAACATGAACAAAGACTCAGTGCTTGGTGTGGCCTCTTCTTCCTTCCCTCCCGACACACATCAGAGGTTGTGAGTCACTTTCGTGGAACGTCCACTGTGGGCAGGGTCTGGAGCGGCGGCCCCTCCCCCAGAACCGAGGCCCACTTTCTCTCGGCCTCCCATCAGCGTTGACGGCACGGTGACAGCAACGGGCAGGCCTGAGGACAGCTGGGCGGGTGGTGCCTGCCTCTTTCAAAACACAAGGCACCAGCCCAGGCAAAGGGCAGCTCCCAGCTACCTCCAATGTTTCAAAAAGCCTCCAGGGAACCATCACCCCTTCTCCATGCGGAGGCCAGAGATTCCTCACACAGCAGCCAGACGGGCCCTTGTAAGTGTAGGCTGGATGCTATGTCCCTCATCCAAACCCTCAGGGGCGCCCCACCGCGCACAGGTAAAGTTCTGGTCTGGGCTTTCAAGACCCTGCGTGACCCCACGCAACCTGGCCCTTCATGCAGAAAAGAGTGAGCATCGCCTGCTGCCCCCATTTGAAAGAAAGGCCTGCTTCTACCACTGGCCCTTAGCTGGCCGCTGGAAACCTCGGTTTGGGGAGGGGGTCCACCACGAATGGACAAGAGTGGCTCACTCTGCCTCAACTGTTTGCACAGACAACACAGTTCCCACGAGCATCGCTTTCCTTCTGGAAGTCTGCGTCCTGCTGCAAGGCATCAGGGCAATGAGTGTACCAGAGGGCTGTGTGTCCTCTGGGTGAGCACACACCCACACCTCTCCGATCTCTGCCCTCATCCCTGGCTCCGTGCCCTGGCCTCCTCGCTCCTCCCAACCAGGCTCACGGGCCAGGTCTTCGCCTCAGCTCCCCAGCGCCCCTCGCCTAGCCCCTGGCCCCCTCTGGGTGTCTGCTAAGAGCCCTTCCGTGCCCTCCTTTGATAGGAGAGCAGGCCCTCGCAGGCCCCTGGCCTCCTGAGTTGTTTTCCTTCTCTCCACAGCCCTTGTCTCTCCTTGCCACGGGCACCTATCTGCTGTCTGTGGCCTGTCTCCCCCACTAGAACATAAGCGGTGTGAGGACAGGCTCTGGGGGAGCTTCCTTCACCACAGCGGCGCCTGGGCTGGGGAAGAACACACCCAGCTTCCGGGTCATGGGTGAGCTCGCCCCGCCTGTAAAGGAAGGGCAGGGCAGAGGGGGCAGGCAGCCACCCCCAGGAGAGGGGAGCCACATACCTCCAGGAGCTGCGCAGCACTGGGCCGCGTCTCGGGGTTCTTATCTAGGGCCGTCTTCAGGAAGTCGCGGAACTCCACAGACCTGGGGGGTGGGGGGCACAGGTGGCAGCAGTCAGCTCGGAGTAGGGCAAGAACTGAGAAAATTCCCGAGTCACAGACTCCACTCTCCTGGGAGTCATGTGCTTCCCCAACACAGCCCTCAAAAGACAAAGGGCGCCTTCATGAGCTAAAACGGCGAAGGCGACAGGGCTTTCGAGATGATCTCATCATGAACATCGCTGTATAGATGGGGACATGAAAATCAGTGGAGCAGGGACCTGCTCAAGGCCACACGGCAAAACAGAGGAGCGCCGGGGTTTAAGCCTGCGCCCTGGTTCCCAGCCCAGGGCTGTGCCACGTGGCTGCCAGGGCCCATTTAGGCACCTCCTCCCACAGTGGCATCCGCCTTATTGGATCCCACAGTCTGCTCAGATGGACAGCCCATGTCAAGAGCACAGAGAACAGGAAAAGGCATGGAGGGCCCAGGTAGCTCAGAAAGGCCCGGAGTGTGCCTCAGTGTCCCCCACACTGGGGCCTAGCAGGGACAGGAGAACCCTGGCCCTCCACCTGCCCAATCCCACCTGCCCCATGCCCCGGGCCCACTGGCCACACAGCAAACACCCTCGGGCTGGCCTTGCTCCTTACCACTTAGAAGGCGAGAGCAGAGTGGGGGGATCCGACTTGGCAATCTTGAGCAGGACCCGCATGGGGTTGAGTTCATGGTGTGGGGGTTCAATCTGGGCCATCTCAATCAGAGTGATGCCCAGGGACCAGATGTCGGCTTTGTAGTCATACGGTGTGTCCTTCATGGTCTCACACATCACCACCTCAGGGGCCATCCTGAACCAACCAAGGGACAACAGAGGGCTAAGAACCTGGCCTCCACAGGCACTTCTCAGAGACTCAGGGTCAGGGACCACACCACAAGCCAATGTCAGAGGGTTGGCAGCACTCCCGAATCACGACGTGCATTAGGGTCCATCCCACTGTCTTCCTTACGTTGGTCTTCACCCAGAAAGATGCCTTCAGAGGCGTTCCACCGCCATGTCCGGCTGCAGTTCCCGATGACTGCCACAAGATGGCAGCAACAATCCAGAACACAGAGTCCTGGGGAAGGGGTAGGTGCAGGCAGAGGGGAAGGTGCCCAGAATCAACTGGAGGCACAAGGCGGGGTGGGGGGGGCGGACAGAATACAACAGTACAGAGAGAAGGGATGGGAGAGAACAGGAGAAAGAGGAATAAAAGGGCAGAGAGAGAGAAAGGGTGAGTAATAAGCAAGCAAGAAAGGAGTCTAACTCCCAAGTGAGAAGTAATGCACGTGAAAAACAGAAAGTAATTAGGTGTGAAACTGAAAGAGTTTTCGTGTTTTTTTTTTTTTTTTTAAGTAATAGTTTTGGAAAAGGAGGCAACACAATGGACTAGAGAGGTCCAGAGAAACTTCACAGGAGGGTAGGAATTGTTCATCTTCACAGTCCCAGCCCAGGGCCTCCAATTCAATCTGTACTTGTTGAATTAATCAAGAATTGAACCATTGTCGGGGCACCTGGGTGGCTCAATCGTTAAGCGTCTGCCTTCGGCTCAGGTCATGATCCCAGGGTCCTGGGATTGAGCCCGGCGTTGGGCTTCCTGCTCAGCGGGGAGCCTGCTTCTCCCTCTCCCACTCCCCCTGCTTGTGCTCCCTCTCTCGCTGTCTCTGTCAAATAAATAAATAAAATCTTTAAAAAAAAAAAAAAAAAAAAAGAACCATTTTCTAGGGGTTCCCGTTTAGGTGTTCTTAATGGAGCACTTTCTATACGCATCTTCCCGTTTAATCCTCACAGCAACCCGTGAACCCTGATTTCGTAGAGGAGGAAACTGAGGCACAGGGAAGCTAAGCAACTTGGCCAAGGTCACAGCACTCGTGAATGGTGTGGCCTGGTCTCAGACCCACTGAGGCTGGCTGACTCAGGAGCCCTGGCCCCCGTCCTCTCTCCTCTACAGCAGCCAGAGGTCACCTTGGGGATTCTGAGGTTCAACCTTCAGTCCACCATTCCCTTTCCAGAAACTGCACATCTCACCAGTAAGGCGTTCCTATGAAGGAATCTCGCTTTTGCAGAGTTTTCAGATTCTTGGCAGACACACCAAAGTCAGCTGCAAGACAAAAATCAGATAGAGTATTCGATGGACATTCCTCCACCCACAGCCCTGGGGTGAGAACTCAGAGACAGACGTTCCAAATCAATTAACAGATGCCATTTTTTACCTAGCAAATTTCTGATACTGTTGTAAAGATTTATAGAGACATGCACTTTCCTTCCTGCTAATGAGAGTATAAACTGAAGAGCCTTTCAGGGAAGCAGTTGGGCAATAAATCTAAAGAACCTTTAAAATATCCATACTCTTCTGATCCAGTAATTCCAAATCTAGATATTTACCCTAATGAAATAATCTTAAACATAAAAACAGTATGCAGAATGATGTTCATCAAAGTGCTATTATAATAGTGACAAATTAAAAAGAACCCTAATTGTTTGGCTTTCAGGGAGTGATTTTAATCAGCAATAATTGTGCCTTGGATAAACGTCACTGCTAGGCCTCTGCACGAAGCTGAGGGGGTGATTTTAAAACTTCTTATATACAATATATAACATATTCTGTCTTTTCCAAAAAGGATCTAAGATGGCGTATCAAGCACACACAAAAACATACGCACAGTAAAATAAACCAAGAAACTGAGAGGTAAGAAAGATAAAGGGTAAACAACTGAACAGATGAAGAAAAGTGTGATATATGGGCATATGACAGAGTATTTTACAGGCATTAAAATTAGTTTTGAAGTATTTTTATTCAATATTTTAACACTGAATTATACATATTAATACATGTCAATAGCAGGGGCACGTGGGTGGCTCAGGGTTCAGTCCAACTCCCGATTTGTGGCTCAGGTCATGATCTCAGGGTCGTGAGATCAAGCCCCGCGCTGGGTGTGGAGTCTGCTTAAGATTCTCTCTCTCCCCTTTGCCCCCACCCAAGGCAAAATAAAACAAAACAAAAATATCAATATTAAAACATTTAGTATGTATTTAATATATATTAATATTTAACATGTATTTAAATGTTGTAATATTTAACAATATTAAGATATTGTATTTTTATACTTTTAAGGTTAAGTAGGAAAGGGGAGGATACACAGTTGAATATATTGTATGGTCCCCATGATGCTCTCCTCCCCCAAAAAAGGGCAAATATCTACATGAACTGACTTGGAGGAAATATACCAACTTGCTAAACTGGTTGTGCATGGATCATGAGACTAGACAAGGTTTCTTCTACTTTTCTCAATTCTTTAAATTTGCCATGATGAACATGTATGACTTCCAGGACTAACATAAATAAATAAATAAAATGTATCTTTAAACACACCCAAAACTACCAGTCTTCCTTCACATGCCTACTACTACAAGAAGAATCCAATGCCACAAAGAGAAATCTCCAATTCTCCTGTCTTCAAGGGTAAAGTTTCTTTTTTTTTTCATTTTTTTAAATAGAAATAAGCATATTTACTGTTATGTTTTTAAACAACATTCCAACTAGTAAGTTAACATAAACTTTTATAGGGCAGAAAAACAGGTAAGTTTCATCTTGATTAAAAAATAAATTCAGGGGGCGCCTGGGTGGCTCAGATGGTTAAGTGTCTGCCTTTGGCTCTGGTCATAATCTCTGGGTCCTGGGATGGAGCCCCTGCATCGGGCTCCCTGCTCAGCGGAAAGCCTGCTTTTCCCTCTCCCACTCCCCCTGCCTGTGTTCCCTCTCTCCCTGTGTCTCTCTCTGTCAAATAAATAAATAAAATCTTTAAAAAAAAATTAAAAAATTAAAATAAATAAAACATAAATTCAGGAGCAGGGCACCTGGGTGGCTCAGTGGGTAAAGCATCCAACTCTTGGTTTTAGCTCAGGTCATAATCTCAGGGTCGTGAGATTGAGCCCCCAAGTCAGGCTCCAGGCTCAGCGCAGAGTCCGCTTGGGATTCTCTCTCTCCCTCTCCCCTCCCCCTGCTCGTGTGCTCTCTCTCTAAAATAAATAAATAAAATCTTTAAAAAATAAATAAATAAAAATAAATTCAGAGCAAAGCAACACCTTGAGCAGACTGGTGATGCTTAATCCAAAGAGAAGTTGCAAAGCTGCGTAACTACCAGCTCCCCGACTCCCGGAAGTCTCTGTCTAGCTCTAGAAACAAGCCTGCAGAACCACAGTCGCATAACAACTGCTGTCCTGGAGAGCTTGAATCAGACCCACAGTTTCAAACCAGGAAGGAGCACAATGCTAAGAGCAGGGGCCTGAATACCAGAGAACCGGTTCCAGTCTTGGCCCTTCTATTTCACTGGTTCATTCACCTATTCATCGGGGTGCCATCCGGAGCCAGACATTAGCCAGATGAGAACTAAGTCCTTGCCCTTGGGCAACTCAAAGTTTAGTTGTGGAAGCAGATAGCAATCAGACAAACACCAGTAAGTATCTAGTCCTGTGTAAAGGGTGGAAAGATAGGAGCAGGGAGATAGGAGAGTCTACAGTCAGGGAGGTGAGAGAGCGCAGGGAGGGAGGGAGTACTTGGAGGAAGCACAGTTGAGTGCCTCCAAGCTATTCATTCACTCAACACATATTAATTGAACACCTATTATGTGCCAGGCACTGTTCTAGGCACAGAGCTGAACGAAAATCTCCACCCTCGTGTGGCTTGTTATTCTAGCAATGAAAACAGACCCTCAACACCCCCCACGTGATTCATGGTGGGAACAGGGCAGATGGGCGGCTATTTTAGACAGGAGGTCAAGATCTGGGGGAAGATATTTCCAGACAGGGATAACAAACTGGCTGAAGGGCCTGGAGGGGCAGGGCACCATGACTGGAGGGAGCGGGGAGGTAGAAGCTGGTAAGGTGGGAGACAGGCCGGGGTCAGGACAATCAGCAAACCTCTGCCTCTCAGTGCCCCGGTCTGTGATACAGGGGTGGTGATACCATTAGAACTACTCTGCAGGGTCGCCAGGAGGATTAAATGACACACATAAAGCACCTGGCTCCAGGCCCTGCTCCTGGTAAATGCTCTGTCCATGGGGCCCGTGAGCTGGGAGGATTTTAGGCTGGGGCATTGCTGAGGCTCCTGGGAGTGGTCAGGAAAACTGGTCTCTGAGCCCAGTGCCGGCTACCTAAATAGCAGTTGTTCTGTGAGCGGATGACAGGCCTGGGGGGAACCATCTGGCCCAGGGAGGGACCAACAGCTGCTGCAGGGGGAGGTACAAAACCAGGAAACCCAGATGAGAACCCGGCTCTGCAGTGGACTACCTGGGAGGCCAGGACAAGTCACCACCCCTCTGGGCTCCTGGGGAAGAACGTGGGGCCTGGCTCACCTCCTCCCTACAGGACCGCCTGGGGCCCACCTCCCCTGCAAACACCAATAATGGCTGGCATGTCATCCTAGGAAATCTTCTGGGAACAATAGTGACTGCCTCTCTCAGACCCAGCGTCAGGCTCCCAGGAGGGAGCTGCCACTCCCCGACCAGAGTCTCCAATCCCTGCCTGAGAAGAAAGAGGAAACGCAGAAACCATCAACTTCCACAAGGACACACAGTTGGTCCCCGAGGCCCTCCCATAGGCAAGAGCCCGCCAGCTTTGGGGATAGCTGCTACTTCTCCCTTCGCCCCACAAGACGGGGCCCACCCAGGCAGCCCCTCCCTGCAGCCCAGGGACCTCAGCCAATTCAAAGAGGGCTTCCCCCAGGCAGTCTCTTCTAATAAAAATCTCCTCTCTCAGAAACAAGAGCGGGAGGTAGGTGGGGACTGTCATAAATTATCACGTCCATAAGGAAAGAGTCCATTCCTGCCTCGTCCATAGCTGCTCCCCCAGCACCTCATCCGGCACACGAAATACTGTTCCCAAGTGAACCACCGAATACATGAAAGGCCAGACCTTGCTAGACTACCTTTTAAGTCTAGGAAAAAAAAAAAAAAAAAAAAAACACTGGCTTTTAAGAAGTATGTTTGACAGCAATTCTCTTTCTAGAAAGAGATCCTCCAAACCAGATGATAAGATACATGGAAGCTTACAAAAGCATTGTTCCAAAGAGTAAAAAAATCGGAAGCTGCCAAGTTGTTGCTAGAGCTTGTCTGGCAAATGGTTAAATTATGGCACACTCCAGCCGTGAACCACCAGGCAGCCCTTAACACGAATGAGGATGCATGCGTGTGTACGAATTGGGATGTTGTCCCTAATATGTTGCCCTGAACATGTTGCTGACGGATCAACGCATATAATAGGAGGTAGAGCGTGATTCCAGTTGTATTTTAAAAGAACGACATACGCATACTGTGTTGTCCAAACACACCCGCACACACAGAACAGGGTCGGCGATGTTCCACGTCAAACTTCATAGTCACCACCTCCCCAGAAGCGGGATTTCGGTGAGCACGCCGAGGGGGCCTTAACATTTTTTAACTTCAGACACTTCTATTCTTTAAAACGTCTTTGATAAAGAGTACGTACTGCCTTTCTGGTTTAAAAAGCTGAACTGCATGTGGCCAAAGTTTTTTAGGTTTGTGGGTTTTTGTTCTTGCTTTTTGAGTAAAACCCAGTGGGAGCCAGGATGTGGTGAGAGCATTTCGCACTTGCCAGGGGGTGTGCTGCACACGCCGGATGAAGGGCACACTGGCCGCAGCTTAGTGACAAAACCCTGAAACGCTGCACACACCCAACCAACAGTTCTACCAAACCCTGCCATTTACTGAGAAGTGGGCAGGCGTATACAGCGCTGTGCAGATGTCTGCGCGTCCCGCAGACCCTCCTCTGCGGATCATTTGCATATCATCTGCATGTATATCCCTATGCATATCGTTTATAGCCATGACCCTTTGGGCAGGGAAAATTATTATCCCACCCTTTTTAAGATTTTATTTATTTGACACATAGAGAGAGAGAGAAAGAAACAGAGAGAGAGAGAGAGAGAGCACAAGGAGGCGCAGCGGCAGGCAGAAGGAGAGGGAGAAGCAGGCTCCCTGCCGAGCAGGGACCTCAATGTGGGACTCGATCCCAGGACCCCAGGATCATGACCTGAGCCGAAGGCAGTCACTTAACTGACTGAGCCACTCAGGTGCCCTATTA